GAGAACGCGATAGACTCAACAATTAGTACATCAGCACGGCGAAACAAGTGATAACACATAGCGTGTAGTCGCTCAGCGGGACGGCGTCACTTTATCGATCGATATCTCGGCCAAGAGACGCTCTACGAGGTCAAGATAACTTGCAACGTCATTGGTCACTATTTATAACTTTGACCTGTAATTGACTACGTCATTTTCCATATAAGGAACACTGGAATTTTCCATTGAAAAGGGTCAGCGTCTATGCCCTTTATATAGGGCCTGCGCGCTTCCCGGTCGAAGTAGGTCAGCCCTATATATAGGGCGTGCGCGCTTCCCGGGTAGCCCGGCTCACGCCCTTTATATAGGGCCTGCGCGCTTCCAGGGTTAACTAGCACTTTTAGTCAGAGTTTCCAGGTAGTCGGTACAGCTGTACGGGTAGATAGATAGTGAGGGATGTGTTTCTCTGCCTTGGCTCACTCCGTCGTTTTTAGACGAGACCTGTGTGTCAGGTGAACGGAGAACTGTTGTTGCCATGGTTTGCGTTTGTTTACAGAGTGTGAAAGGGGTGGAGTTGTGAGATGTTTTGAACAATGTCAGGTTGCTGCCAGTGAACCGACAAGTGAAATTAAATTCATGATCAAAGACCAAGGTCAACATCAAAATGCTTATATTCTCCATTAACACTGTACCATATTAACTCTTTCTTTGCCAGAGGGTTTTCCACATATTTGCCAGGCCACCGTGTTGTGCAATTAAATGTGGTATTGGGATTATTTAAATTATTTAACTTATTTTATCCGAAAAATCAAAACTGATCCTCATTTCAAACAAAAATGTTCAGTTAGAGTTTGCAATGATATTTAACTTTGACAAACTTCTACAAGCAGGGAGAAGAAATGGGATAGAGGACAGAATACTATTTTTATAATGACATAGATGGTGGATTGACACTGGTGTCTACTTGATATCAATGAGTTATCGTGGATTGGCACAGAAAGAGTTAAGAACTCAACTGGTATACAAAAGGCTCAATAGAAGAGATGGATTTGTCACAATTTTGTTAATTATGGGTTGTATTCATTCCTTTAAAACATTTGGGGTGAATGAAATGAATTTTCCATGGTTGAATATATCAGAGCAGGAGAACAAACAAATGATTTGCCATAGATCTTACAGATATGCTTACCAATATAATTCACTTTGAGTAAACTTTAATTTACATTTGATCGAAAATTCAAAATGTGACATATCCCCTTTTCCATTTAGCTCTTTGTTTGTCTGGCCTTTACCATGGTCAAGCAAATATTTGACCATTCTGACCCTATCCAAATTGCCTTTCATTTGAGTACTAGGAGTTAGCCAGAGTTTTGATTCATTTCTGCCTTGTGTGCAGATTTTTAATTTATTATTATCTACTCTTCCTTTGTACTCAAGGCTGGAGGTAACAAAAGTGATGTGCTTTTTAAATTTTATATTTTACTTTTACCTCCATCCGGAGGTTTTGTGTAATATAAAGTATAACATTTTGTCCTGAAAGCTATGTGTTTGTGAAAGTTTTTGTGTTTTGTTGCTGTGCGTCTTAGGTGTTATTATTGTGTGGTTCGTCACTAGGTTGTTCATGCTTTATCCCGAGTCTCTGAATGCCGTCAGTGTTGTCCACATGTGTATCCATAGAGACAATACATTGTTTTCTTTTATCTTATCTTAACCTTTACCATACATGTATGTGTGTGTGTGTGTGTGCGTGTGTGTGAAGTGTCTTACACATGCATGTGTATTATTTTGTGATGCTTTGTTGGGCAAACGGATGCTGTGTGGGCTGACACTGAATGCCGGAATCATGACACTGGTGCTATCTTGTTGTGTCGTGTCATGCGTCATCTGTCATACGTCATGTGTCATGCTTTATGCGGTGTCAAATGTAGATGTAGTTTAAGTGGCACATTATGTAGTTTATTGTCAGTTGAGAGAGGTTGTGTTTGAGTGAAGTGATGATGCATACTGAACCCTGAACCCCTATGTTTATTGTTACTGTTTATGTGAGCTGGTCATAGTATTATGAATATATATCCCTCACATATTATTCACGTATATTATGTTTTACCTTTATCATTGTGGCTTCCAAGCTGAGATTTATTGATGGCATTGAAAATTCCATTTGTCAAAGGGTCTGTGTGGCTGGTTGACTTTGGTGTGGTTTGCTCCTTCTCTCCTATCAGAGATCTATCGTCCTTATTTCTTCTTTTCATTGTATATAATGTAATGTTACTCTCAAGTAACACCTCTAATCTTCAGAACTTTTATGACCTATTTGTATTGTAAGTGCCGTAAAACTCTTATTAAAACTAAACTGAAAGAGTCTGTTGGATGTTGCCTTTGGAATTCTTGTGGTGAATGTAGCAATGGTGTTATGTGATTTGACACATGTGTTGGTTATTGTATTCTGAAGAAATGCCATGGTGTTATGTGATTTGACACATTTTTTGCTTAGTGTGTTCTGAAATTATGCCATGATGTTGTGTGATTTGACACATGTGTTGGCAAGGTATGTATTGAAATGACATAATGTTGTGTCATCTGACACATGTGTTGCTTAACTTGTTCTACAATGCCATGGTGTTATTTTAGTATTTTGACAGTAGAAAGACTGAATGGGACCTCTATGGTGTGAACTTTGTCAAATGAGTGGTCAATAGACAGTGTGCTGAAACTGCTGTTGTGATAGTAAAATAGTAGTTAGTAATGTGTGGTATGTAGCCTTTGCGAGTGTGTATATATGAATTTGTGTGTGTGCCTGGTGAAATACATTATGACGCATTTTGAGGAAGTGCATTTTATTGCATTTTGTGGTAAAAAAGTTTTTTATGAACAATTTCTTAAAAATGTTTAAAGATAGCTTCATTTCTTTGTGAGACCTGATTAATTTAGAATAAAGGTTTTAAGTTTCAAATGCCATAAAATCGTTTTTAAAGCAAATTCATGGTAAAAGATGAACTAGAAATTTCGCAAAATGACTTCGCTTTGCTCATGAAGTGTGGAAGGGTAGGCCCTATGTGTATGCACAGAGTCCTTTCGTTTACTGTGTTACTGTATTTTTTGCTCTGCACTGCCCAAGAAGGGAATATGTTAAGGGCATACTGACCTAAATTTTGATATGGGATGTGAAGGGGCTGATTCTTATGAATGTATGAATGAGTCGTAGAAATCATTGTAAATGACAACACTGGAAATTTTAAAGAGGGATTTTGTGGTTTTGCTTTGCTACTGAAAGGGTACAAATGTGCAAAGCCTGTTATCCTTTACTGTTTTGTTACACTCTTGCACACTTAACAGATAGAGAAAATTCACAAGCTGACTTAAATTTTGAAACGCAATATGATGGGGTTTGTTTTTATGAATGAGCTGTAGAATCCTTTCGCCGACGTAGGCTCTGACAGCAAATTTTCCCATGCAATCTTTGTTAATATAATGTAAGTTAACGTGTGACAAAAATTATCTTCAAAATACATTTTTTTTGCGTAAAGTACTCGCAAAGTCTTGTAAATATTGGTAGATAAATGGCTAAACAATCATTTTCGAATTGAAATCAATTTTTTATAAAAAATCGAGTATTAACCTTTATTGCCCTGTACCTCAGTTTGAGCAAATGCTTCTTACGGTTCCTTTCACCAGGCAAGCACACATTTGTATGTGTGTATATAATATATAATATGTGAATTTGTATATATGTGAGTGTGTATGCTTGAATGTGTATAAGTGAGTATGAGTTTGTATGTTTGTGAGTATATATCTGTGAATTTGTACGTGTAGAAGTGTGTACATGTGCCTTTGTACTTTGTATGTAGGCCTGTATGCAGGTGCATGAATTTGTATGTTTATGAGTGTCTGTATGTGACTGTCTTGCTAGCTACGGCCCTGACAGTGTGATCAGGCTCTCAGCAAGGCTCAGCCTAGGTACAGGAGAAGGAGGATGAGGCTCTTCCTGCTAACTCTTCTGTTGCCACATTCCTCAAGAGACCAGTAAAACATGGACAATACTTATAATGACTGTGTCTTGTTTCTTGCTCCCTTTCATGTCATGTCTTTAGTGATGTTTGTTTATTTTACGGTACTCATTTGCAAACACACTCACAAAAATGCATGCACGCATGTATACACACACACACATGCGCGCGCTCACACACACACACACACACACACACACTCACAGAGAATACAGAGTGTACTGTTAGCTCAGTTTTTATCTTGGTGGACTACAGAGCGGATAGCCTTGGTTCAAATCCCCAAGTGGGGAGTTCTAAATGAGTTGTTTTGAGGATTTTTGTAAAGGCACTCCACTCATTTGGCTCGGTCACATCTGAGATGGATGTTAAATTTGGAGGTCCCGCCTTTTAAATCGCATTTTAGTGTTGTAACGACGTAACACACAGACACATATGAAGTGCAGATCTGTCTGCACATTCACATATATCTGGCCCCGCGGAAAATTGCATTTTTGAAATTGAAAAATTGCAAAAAATTGCAAGGTAAACCGCCAAAAAATTGCAACCTTCCCCTCCCAGGCGCATTAATACACGGGCTTAACATTTTTAGTTTAAAATCATGACAATTTTGAGTACCGGTAGCATAAAAGCAGCTCAGCCTTTTAAAAAATCATGACAAACAATACAAATTCATCAAATGTTATTAACAACATTTACTAGTAACAACACACGAGTACGTTAACAATAAAGTTATTGACCAAATATAATATGATAACGTGTGACACAAAATAACGGAACCCTCGGTTTTCGTAATAACTTTTTAAAGAAGGCATAAAATTTGACCAAATTTAGTTCATACCGGGTACTTGGTCCATGCAAAAATCTAGAAGTGTATGAGGTTTAGTCTATAAAAAACAAAAAAATTGACGAGAGATTTTCGAAACCTCTAAATACAAAATAAGCTTACGCTCCAATCAAATCAGATCCTGTTCTATTTTTCTCTTGAAACCTTCGATACACCGGTAGTCTGTATTTAGGTATTTTTCAGATATTTTGTTTTAAAACCGTCATGGTACATGTATTGTTTTAACACAAAGTCAAATCGTAAAACACAGCAAATTTTTCCCACATTTATAAACAATAGGAATACATGTACTAATGTAGATCTAGATCATTTCTATAGCACCCACTCCCGTGTGAACGCACCTTAACTTTAAGGCGTTTTACTTGACGGGGTGTTTACATACACGGTACGTGGACACCTAGCCTCAGTGTCTACGTACACGGTAACCGGCAACCGGGCACGTAGTCTCAGTGTCACGTACACGGTAACCGGGCAGCTAAGAATTCCAAGTTCAGTTTTTGTCATCCGGTGTTGCCTTCAACTCCAGCCCTCCACTGACTGTACATAACCAAAAAAAAAAAAATAATTCTCCCATTCCGGAGCCCTATACTTCGTAGCGCACAGACTTTGAAAGAACTTTGGTGACCCCAACCGGTACTCACAATGTGATGCGAAAGCACAGGTTCACTGACCGGTAACGATGGCGAGCCCGACAAGACGCGTGTATAACTTATAACTTTAAAAAAAAAATTTCAACAAGTGACAGCACAGGACAAATTGGTTAATTTTCATTCCGGTAGGTTACCGTGTACGTAGGTAGATACTGAGACTATGTGCCCGGTTACCGTGTATGTAGACACATGCATCATGTACGAACAATATTCACGCGCGCGCACTCACACGCACGCACACACACGTACACCTCACACACGCACACACCTACTTTCTTATCACACGCGCACGCTTACACACATTAGATAAAAGCCTAGCCCAGAGAAGGCCACCTTCTCGGTCTAGCCTATGTTTCATTTCGTGTTGTACATGATGCATTCCGACCTGAATTTCCGGCTAAGGCTTTTAGAGTACGCTCAGTAGGCTTGAGGTAGGACCTATGCCTATCGGCGCTGTGCTCGCACCATTTCGTATTAAAAATTCTGTTAAAATTAAAGGGTTGATGTATTTTTGCCTAAAATTGAAAGAAATTGCGAAAATTGCAAAAAATTGCGGGTTTATTGCGGAACTTGACGAAAAACGCGGCCGCAAGTACCGCGATTTCCTGGAGGGCCAGATATATAATATTTGTGTCTTTTACACACCTTCACACACACGTGAGCAAGCACACACATACACACAAACACACACACAGACACACACACACACACACACACACACACGCACACACAGAGGCAAGCAGGCACACACACACTCCCACACACATGCTTGTTTGTAAACACAAATATGCAAACATGTTTGCATTCACTCCAGTACGCACATATACGTACATACACAAACACACTCACACCCATACATACACATACACACAATGCATAAACATATACATGTATATATACCAATGCTTACACCTTCTCATACACTACCACACATACTCACACACACACACGCACTCGCTCCCTCTCTCTCTTTCCCTCTCCCTGTCACATACACAGACATAGATCTACATGCATATATGGAATCATTCATAGTAATCATAGACACTCCTTCACACTCGTACATTGGCACCTTCATCCACCTTTTAACACTAACACATTTTGGAACTTGGGCATAAATGATAATACCCTAACTGAAGACTTCCTTGAGGATTAATAAGTTAGATATATATATTTCCCTGGAATGTTTCCACATCCTTACTATCATAATTTTTTTCTCTACTTCTTTTGTATGTTTGCCACTCTCTTCTGACCCGCTATTTCAGGGATGCCTTGTTGGTCGAAGCAGACTTTAATTTACTGTTGGGGTCAGAGAGGTGAGCAGAGTAAGCCTGTTTCCCAGTGTGGACTTCTCTGTTGACATCCTCCCCTTGGCACTCATATGACCATCTCTATACAGTTGCGAGCGCCGTAAAAATCTTACTAAAACATGGGATGTTTTAGATGAACAGTGCCTGCTGTCTGTCGCCGAATAAGCTGAAGAACTTTTTAATTCGGTCACTTCTTGTAGTTTTACGTTTAAAATAAGCTGGATCAGAAAAGTAAAGTACGTTTAAAATAAACTTCAGCTCAGCCGATTCTTTAGAATTTCCTTAGTTTTAGTACATGCACTCTCTGCAGGGTCTATACCCTGTCTACCTTTCCCCACCGATTGATCATCATATAAAAAAGTAGATCTACGTCATCTGTTTGTAGGTCTATGTTCGGAGGAGTCCAAAAAGTAGAAAGGACAATAATTGAGACGCGCATAATTAGATCAACTTGTGTCAGGGGAACTAACCCGTAATGTACTATTGTAATTACTATAATTTCCCGGCTGCTCCCCTTTTAAATGTTTTTGGTTCAGGTTGGAATGATGTGGTAGCCTACTGTAACAACTTTCTCAATAAGTCAAATAAGTTTAACCAACACTCTTTTATTTGTCATTATGCCATAGATGTACACTATGCGCCCTCGCCCCGGATACGGTTCCAATCCCTGCCATTCATCCAAAATGTTTAGATTTTAGATCTAGAATCTACTGTTGATCATTGACGTCACAAAACTGCTTCATTTTTTAAATTAAAATCCTATTTTTCAGTGAAACAAGGCTGAATAGCAAATAGGTCAACTAAATGATAATCATGCGTTTGATCCTTATAAAGGCCAACTGTTAACAGTTTATACATTTGTATTTATATTAAATTAACGATTTTATGATCCAGACCAGTAATTCAAAGCGAACCTAATTTTGTTGCCAAAATAAATGAGCTACTTCCGGCTTAGCCTTGGTTTGTTTCATGCTGTTCACTGTTCTTCTTTCTCAGGAGAGACCTTCTGTAATAAAGTTGTTACCGATTAAAAAGCGACCTGTTTGAGTCATTCTTTGCCTCGAAACATGTTTAAAAAGTGAGTATCACTGTTTTTTCGAAGAGATTTAGATCGTGGTCCTACTTCGATACTGGACGCGCTAATAACATCTGTCGGCTGTTACTTGATCTGTTTCTGTGTTACTGACTGTTGGTTGTGTTGTAGTGTGGGATGATCTCCTCACTCTCACTCTCACTACTCGCTGTCTTTATCTGTCACTGTCAGTCTGTTTACTTTACCGGCGCCGGCCTAGGGCACCATAGCCTTAACATTCATTACTGGACTTTTTTTTTCTCCCACTATTGTACTTAGGTCGGGCTGGATTTGTACTTTTACCGGACCACCCGTCTGGGCCCGTGATTAAGCCTAGGCTACTACGCGCGCCTAGCCTAAGTACGCACTAGTTCTCTACGCGCGGACAAGAAGTAGTTCCGTGGGCGACTGCGCCCAGAGTGCAAGCCAGCGGCGAGGCGAGGTGAGCGAGAGGTAGTGATTGAGGGTTGGTTGGGGTGGGGTGGGTAGGGGATTTAACTTGACTTTGGTGACCCACCGTGTAGTGTTTACATCATAGGCCTAACAACAGTGGGGGGTTTCTTCAGGGGGGGCTGGCCCCTGCCAACAATAATAAAAAAACCCACATAAATGCAAAACAATAACATGAAGCGGACCATGGCGCTAAGTAGACAAACGGGGTAATTAGACTTGGAACAGGGGTTCCAATTCAAATTTGCTCTCGTGTGTGTACTGTTTTGAACTTCTCTCTTTCTTCTGGCGCTGTGGCATCATAAACGGTCAGCGATGCCGACAGCACGGAGGAACTCAACACTTGCCCGGAGTACTTGAAAAGTGCTGAAAGTGGGTTACTGAAATGTCCCAGCAGACGAGCTGCACGATAGTTGGCTGGACATCTCAGGAACACATGGTCCTTAGTTTCGTCTTCCTCCTTGCTGGCTCAACAGGACGGATCTGGGTTGTCTGCTGGCGCAATTTTGTGGAGATGTTCTCAGCTTGGGCGATTTTCCTCCATTTGGGAGAGAAGCTGGCTGTCCTGTTGTCTGAGCGAGGCCTCAAGCTGGTATGATGGCGGCTGGGCAAATGGCAGTTTGGGTTTCGCCTCGCCTCTCTCTTCCACTTTGCGTGGGTCGACCGGTGGATGACGGCTTTAGCTATCGAGAAATCGATTGGCGTGTCAATCTGGGTAAGCGCTGTTGCTTCTTTGGCGATGCTGTCAACTTCCTCGTTCCCAGCCAGTCCAGCGTGGCCTGGAATCCACTGTAAGTGGATGGAACATTTGGAACGTTGACAGAGGGTGTACAGACGCTGCCAGACTGAGCGCGCCACTTTTTCCGATTGGTTGGCTGGGCCATGAGAGGCGCATGACTGCAGACCTGGAATCAGTGTATACCTGAATGCGTACATTGTTCATCTAAGGTTGTTTGCTGTCATGTACAGTGGAACTCGGATTCAACGAGGTCATCGGGCCTGATCTAAAATCTCGTTGAATCAGAGTGTTCGTTATAGCAAACACAAGGTTTTGTGTAGATAATTACAGGCACTGAGCAAGTAATGTGCAAGAGAAGTCACAAGTAGTGCCTGAAAGGCCTGCGTATTTTGGGCTGTGTTAAAAAAAAGACAGATCTGGGTTGTCTGATTCGTTCAAATACACATGCCTCTGTCATCTCGATGTTTTCCAAAAGTTGTGTTGCTGTTTAGAGCCCAGCATACGGCAACTTTTGATTCCATAGACCAGTGCACAATTCATTACCTAGGTCTATGTCAAGACTAGCTTATAAATTGTAATCATGAGGAGTTGCCGAGGGTAAAAAAGACTGTGACGTGTTCGCATATGCAACGTTCAACGCCCGGACCACTAGTGCCGCCCGCCCCCCGACACGCATACACACACAGCCACACGTGTGCAGGCCGCCCATCCGACCCCGACACACACCAGAGTAGACACGTGCGCGTGTCAACAACACATGTGTTGGTATTTTAAAAGGCTGCTGATTGGGCGCATGCAATCGGCTAAGTGAATAATGGTTAACGGTGCAGGTGCAATGGATGGTTTCCGGGAATAGATAAAGTTTGTTCAAGGAGAAAATTAGCGAAGCCACAGGTGCAGGGGCTTTTCACCCTGGAAGCAGCCTCGTTGAATCCGAGCTCGCTGATTTAAGTGCTCGTTGAATCCGGGTTACATTTATTGATTTTAAAGAAGAAAAAAAATGGGAAATCTGTCTCATCTCGTTGAATCCGAGTTCCACTGTAGTGCCACAAGCATGCCCAGCACTATGTCGAGAGCTACAAGCTCGACCCTGTAGCTGGAACAGTACCGGCCTGCTGGTACACCGTGGTCGAGTTCGGCACCAGTGGTCTTGATCAGTATTCCTGTGCCTCCATACTTGGTACCGTGCTTAGCTGAACCGCCAGTCCAGACTTCTACATCGGGCAGGGGGAGCAATCGAATGGTAGCCTCTGCTGCTGCTTTCCTGACGGCTGGTTCATTAGCATGCTTGCGGTCGACGACAAGATTGGCACTTACCAGGAACAGGCCAAGCCTTGCTTCGCAGAATTGCGAGCAGGGCTGAGGTGGTTGCAATTATGCAAATGAGCGCTCGTGTGCATCTCTCGCACTCCATTGTACTTGGCGGTACCAGGAGAGTGGGGGGGATGGGGGGGGGGGGGGTAGTCCTGCAGAGTCGCGAGCAAAGAAGAATAGTGGACCATGTGATTACATTGACCAATTAGCGTCAAGGTATCAGGTCGTGGGTCAAAGGGCACAGTCATGATGGCTTAAAAACCCGGTAAGAGACGTTAATTGATAGTTGGCAGTTGAAGGGTGAGGATGTTGGAAAGTGAGGAGGAGAGTGAGTAGGGGAGCCCTGAAAGGAAGAATAGCGGACCACAAGGCACCAGGGGTGCCATAGTTAAAGTAATCCGACTGGTGGTCCAGTAAAGTACAATTATGGTCACATAGCTAGAACACTTCTGTCTTACTTCCTCTTCTCTACTGAACTCTATCATACTGTCTCAACTCTACAATGGAAGGAACTCCATAAGCAGCCACGATGAATGAAACAGAGTAGAATTAGGGTTTGGGGTTGGCGTAGCGTTAGGTTAGGGTTACGTGTTGGGGCAAGGGTTAGGGATTGGATCAGGGTTAGGGTTAGGTCTCTTCTATATTGTGTTTGTTGGGGTGGTCACTCGTTATAACGGAAGTCCTTCTGTCTCTATCAAGAGATACATGATACAATCGGGGGGAAGACTTCCGTAACGGGCGACCACTATGAGACAGAGTAGAATCTAGGGGTAAGGGTGGTTGGGTTAGAGTTAGATCTAGGTTTCTTTGTGTTTGTTGGGGTGATCGCTTGTTATGTTAGCCCTTCCCAATTGGGATTATAATATGGTTTTGGACCCCACGATTAGGCCTTCTATGGAGTATGGGTTTTGGCTCCATTAAGGGCTTTAAATTTTAAAACAATTACTTCTTGTTTGAAACGATATCTTTTTGCTGTGGGTGCCGATACGATGTTTGGCATTTGGCGAGCAATAGGGATAGTGAGCAGAGAGAGAGAGGAATGTCGCATAATGCTGGGTTTGTTGGGTGTAATATACTTTGAGTTTTAGCCCCAGTTAGATAATATATTGAAGAAGGAATACTTACAAAGATGAAGACAGACCTAGGGCCAAAATCGGAGTAGGCCTACATCATGTAAAAGGGTGGCTGATGATTCTACTCCTTAATCCAGACATTATTAACTCTGTTTTGGGAGCTAAACTTCCTTTTTTTGTGCACACTTGTGGTGTGTATACTAAATGTGTGTATCTGTCTCAATGTCAACATTGATGCTTTTGTCCATCATAGGTTTGATGACAAGGAGAATGTGGGGAACGTGAACATTGCCAAGTCTTCTGTTCTGAAGGGAATCCGGTCACAGATCTTAGATCAGTTCCATCATGTGGAGTCCTACCTGGACCAGATACTGCCCAAGAAGGAACCGCTCAAGATTGTCAAATGGTGAGTGGGAAATTTTTGGTTTCAGATGGTGAGTCGGATCTTCTCTCTGAGCATTAATTTGAAGTAGAAGGGGGGGCTGGGAGGAGGATTTTGTGATATCCAGTGCAACATAAACTCGAAGTAGCCTACAGAGATTGCAGGAGATCAAGACATTGGGGGTCTTTTGACATTATGACGATTGTCCCATTAACGCCTATAGGCCAGAACTACACACTCTATCATTTTTATGTACCCTGTTCCACCATAGTGGCACAGAGCATGTCCTTTTCACTTCCCCAAATTTAATACACCTTTCTGCAGTCTTCAAAATCCAGGTTGATATTATTATATTACTGAAAGCAGATACCCCCCAACCACCAATACGCACACACACTCTCACAAACACACACACAGAAGGGGGGCGGGGGTCTTAGTGGTTGGTGATGTTTGTCAGAAAGGGAGAATGTAGGCAGTGTTCAAGCATCCAAGGTAATGTTCACACAGTGGCTGAGAATTTTCCTCTCACTTTTGAAGTAAGGTGGCTCTTGACCAGAGGATGTAAACAAAGACCCTTTACTTAATTAATGTAGTGCATTTTTAGCCCTTGTACTTGTTTTGAGGAGCCATACACTTTAATTAGAGGCCAGTGTCAGTGTTCAGTTTTTGAGTCTTAAAAAAAAAAATTCGCCAAACAATTTGAAATGAAGGTTGCTTTTAGAAGAAAAGGTTGCTGTTAAAGGGGTTTGTTTACATATACACTATAGGAGAAATTCCATTACACAAGCTTCAGCTGTTGTTAGGCAGATGTTAAGACACCAGTAAAATCATACAAATTATATGGAGAGAGATCTTTCTCATATCTTGATCCATTTATGTGGAACAGATTACCCATGGAACTAAGACAGACAAGAACACTTGATAGCTTCGAAGGACATCTTAAGCATTTTCTGTTCCTACAAGCCTAGATCCTTCATAAGCTTTTAGCGTTATTTCTTATTATAGTTGTTCTGTGCCTACGTCTGAATGAAAATAGTCTGTGTGTGTGTGTGTGTGTGTTGAAATATATATTGCATGAGAAGAAAGGAAGTAGTAAGAAAGGTTTTGAAAATGGGTATTCCAATGTAAAGCGCATTGAGCTACTTTTTTGGAAATGCGCTATATTAAATGTTATTTATTATTATTATAATTATTATTATTTGTCTGGGTTGCTGTTAACCCTATCCGTACGCCCGGGGTCATGTTGTACCCCCGCGATTGTATTCTTCACATTTTAGAATACTTCTAGTACTAAGATCTCTTTGAAACTTTCAGTGTTTCTCAAAAAATCATTTTGACAGACTGCTCGCTATGCAAGGCGTACAGATCGGGATAAAGAGTAAATCTTCTCTTTGAAAGTGGTGGCACAGAGTGCCCCACGTCGTATGGATACGATAGTAAAACGCGATGTACGGATAGGGTTAAATGGACATCTCTGTACTTGCTCTGTCCAGTCTGTTGCACCTTGTAAGTTCAGTGTGTTGTATTTCCCCAGCCATGAGCATATAGAACTGCTGTGCTCTCAGTCGGGAGAGATCCTGTTCTTCAGACAGAGAGATGGCCCCCTCTTCCCCACCCTTAAGTTGCTGCACAAATGTAAGTTTTAATCAGTCATGTTACCCAATTGATGTGCTCATTCTGTTTGATTTTTTCCATTTAAAACAAAATTTGATCTAGTCTTTGATGCCTGTTCTGTTAGCTCGGATGTGTGCTGTGTTGCTCCAAGAGGAAGATAGAATGTGTCCTGTGTACCTAGAGAAGCTAGGAGGCTTTGCCAAGGGAAGCAACATTCGTATAAGCGAGCATTGTGTGGCACAACTGGTTTTTTCCCTTCATACTTGCTCTGTTATGTGTCCAGGGCAGATCTGCCGTAAGCTGACAATACACCTTTTTTCATTTTGGCTCCAAAAATTGTTATTTGCTAAATCGAAAGCCTCATCAGTTACCCTGCTTGTGTGAAAAAATCAAAGTGAAACCGTGACTAGTTTTTGAATAAATTAGAATTCAAATTTCGGAAGCGCTCTATTTTTGAATTATTACGCAGACAAAAAAACCTCTTTTTCTCGAAACTGCTATGAATAAAATAAGGCGTTTCGTCAGCTTACATCAGAATGTCATTGTCACGGTCATCTTTCACTGAAACCTCAGACTCTACATAATACCAAAAAATACAAATCTGAATCCAACCACGTCATTGAAAACAAATTCCATCATCATCATCAATGCCTTTCACCCCTGGCAGGGTATAGGCCATATACAAACTTCTTCCATTTATCTCTGTTCTAGGCCATCCTTCCAAACTCGTTCCAAGTGAGCTTCATCTTCATCTCTCTCATGTCCCTTTCCATACATCTCCTCCATGTTTCCCGTGGCCTACCCCTGCCTCGTGCTCACTGTGGGTGTCCTTACAGCGATTGTCTTGTGATGTTTCTGCTGTGCTTTCTGAAGGTGTGTCCCATCCATCGCCACTTTCTTAGTCCTATTTCTATTTCTATATCCTTTTGTCCTGTCCTTTCCCACAGCTCTTCATTTCTTATTCTATCCTGCCACTTAATTCTTAGGATACTCCTCATACATATGTTAATGAAAGTCTGGACTTTATTCAGCACTGTCTTTGTTGTCTTCCAAGTTTCGCAGCCGTAGAGGGGCACAGACTTGACATTCGAATTAAAGAGTTGAATCTTGGTGCACAGTGAGATGTTGCTTGCTTTCCAGGCATTTGATAATTAGTTGAATGCTGACCTTGCCTTCGCGGTTCTTGCTTTTACATCTGCCTCAATTCCATCTTTACCACCGTTGACACTTCCAAGGTAGGTAAAGGAGTCCACTTCTTCCAGGGGAGTGTCTTCCACTGTCACGGCAGGGCTTGAAACTTTTCCCAGCTTCACTACTTTTGACTTACCCGGATGAATACGTAGGCCCACACTCCTTGATGGGCTGTTGAGTTCCTTGGTCTTTTCTTGCTTCTGAGCATGTGTGTGAGAGAGCAGTGCAAGGTCATCGGCGAAGTCCAAGTCGTCTAGCTGCTGCCAGGGGATCCACTGTATTATTCCATTGCGCTTGCCTCTGGTGGCTTCTTTCATGACCCAGTCAATTGCCAGTATGAAGAGAAAAGGTGAGAGCAAGCATCCTTGTCGCACTCCTGTCTGTACCTGGAATGGTTCTGAGAGTTGTCCTTCATGGAAGACTTGGCAGTTTGTTCTGTCATAGGTGGCCTTCACAAGCTTGACGATTTTGTCAGGTATTCCGTAATGCCTCTTGAGTTTCCACAGTTTCCCCGTCCACGCTGTCGAAAGCCTTGAATACAAGTTTCACTATACAGTGGAACTCGGATTCAACGAGGTCGTCGGGCCTGACCTAAAATCTCGTTGAATCCGAGTGTTCGTTATAGCACACAGGAGGTTTTGTGTAGATAATTACAGGCACTGAGCAAGTAATGTATAAGAGAAGTCACAAGTAGTGCCTGAAATGCGTGCATAGTATGAGCTGTGTAAAAAAATACCGATTCTTTCAAATACACACGCCTGTGTGATCTCGATTGTTTACCAAAAAGTTATGTTGTTGTGTGGAGCCTAGCATACGGCAACTTGATTCCGTAGACCAGCGCCTAGACGGTCATAAAAACAGGCCACCTGCACGCGACTGACCTAGATTTCTTGTGAGCTGGCACATTCGTGTAGTAGGCCCACACAACCTAGTAGATTATTAGTAGTGATAAGCCAACGCAGCGTGCGGCGGGCAGTTTGAATTGCTGTTTGCTCATGCTTTGACATTGGATTATTTCTGCCTAATGCAGTTTGCTTTTTAAGTCATCTGGATTATGTGAATATGTTCTACATCATTGTGTGTGTTGAGGAACAAAAGTGATGACTAATTAATTAATTAAGATTGAGCAACCGTTTTGAGACCGCAAATTTGAAGTGCTCTTTGGCTTTTGTCTGTACTGTAGGCCTACTGTTCATTTTCAGTCATTTTTCATCGCCATCGTACTGAATGCCTGAATTCTTTTAGTTGAGGCCTAGTGCAGTTGTTTTTTTTTCAAATCATCTGGATTGTGTGAATATCATCAAATACCTCTTCCATCAGTGTACGTGTTTAGATTAAACCTACACTTAAGTTTTGACCATGCAAGTTAAATTCAGATCTGTCTAAAATCCATGTCTACACAGTGGAGGCCCCCCTCCTGATCCGCACACTCTTCACTGACTTAAAGCCTCTCTATGCAAACAACCACTAAAAACTAACTCTCCTTCCTAACCCTAGATCCACATTTAGATCTAGATTAGTTTGTAACACAAACAATAGGCTAAAAGGACCAGGTAGATATAAATCTATATCTAGACTCTGAGCGTCTAGGGGCCCACCCTTGTTAGGTAGGGAAAAGTATGGATCATGATTATGGGGGAGCTCCTTTGTGTTTTTCCCGACCTGCATTATTAATATCTGCTGTTCTTTCACAGTGCTTACATGCTTCTCTTCTCGGCCTATTTATTGCTTTCATCCTGTGTGGTTATGACTCTCTTGGACTGTGACTGACACCTTCAAAATAAACTGAAGGAATAAGAGCAACAATGGGAAGAAAATGCTCAGCTGGTGGATGCAAAACTGGCTATGACAGTCAGAAGGGTGCAGAAAAAGTGACCTTGTATTACTTGTATCGATTTCCTTAGGATGAAACAGAATGTCGGGCATGGATTGCTAGCTTACCAAACATTTTATCCTATGAAAAGATGTCAAAATCAAAAAACATATCAGTGTGTGCCCTCCATTTCCCTCAGAATGTGCCTTTGGTTGGTCGTGGAAGTAAGCTCGTTCCTACCGTCCCTCCATCCATTTTCCTAAATGTCCCCCGCTGAAATTACCTCATTGTTTTTAAAGTGCCGTAAAACTCTAACTCAGCTCAAGTCAACTTTCTATCTTTCCATAATATTTGTTTGTCTAGAATAATATTTTTACATGTCCGTTCGTTTGAACACAAACACAGGAAGCTAAACCATTGAGAGAGAGAGAGAGAGAGAGAGAGAGAGAGAGAGAGAGAGAGAGAGAGAGAGAGAGAGAGAGAGAGAGAGAGAGAGAGAGAGAGAGAGAGGGAGGGAGGGAGGGAGGGAGGGCCTAGCCGTGGCTGTCGTAAGCAGGGAGGGAGGGAGGGAGGGAGGGAGGGAGAAAGAGAGAGAAAGAGAAAGAGACGGAAGGAGAGAGAGAGGGAGGGAGAGAGCCGCCTAGCCGTGGCTGTCGTAAGCATTATTATCATTATGAAGGTCACTGCTTGCTGTGGGCCGAAGCCTGAGTGGCTGGTGTGCCAGCCCACAAGCAAGGTGTGTAGTTCTTGCGCTGCCAGTTTTATAATCACCTAGACCAGCGCACAGTTCAGTATGTAGATCTACGTCAAGATTAGCTTATTATTGTAATAATGATCAGTTGCCGAGGGGAAAAAAGACCCATGACGCGTTTGTATATGCGACGTTCAACGCCCGGACCGCTAGTGCACACCCCCTCCCCCCTCCCCGACACACACACACAACCACACGTGTACAGGCTGTCCATCCGACTCCGACACACGCCAGAGTAGACACGCGCGCCTGCCAACAACACATGTGTTTGTATTTAAAAAGACCGCTGATTGGTCGCATGCAAATTGCAATCGGCTATGTGAATAATGGTTCACAATGCAGGTGCAATGGATGGTTTCCGGGAATAGATAAAGTTCGTTCTGGGAGAAAAATTAGCGAAGCCACGTCTGCTGGGGCTGTTCACATTGGAAGCAACCTCGTTGATTTAAGTGCTCGTTGATTCCGGGTCACTTTTGTTGATTTTAAAGAAGAAAAAAAACCGGTGAATCTATCTCATCACGTTGAATCCGAGTTCTTGTTGAACCCGAGCTTGTTAAATCCGAGTTCCACTGTACTTAAACTGTATTCTTATCTTTGTTGTATTCATATTTCTGTTTGTTTTTAATACTGTTGAAACTTCAGCTGTACTTTCTGTTTTACGTAGCTGTGCTCTTATTTCTATTTTCTATAGATGCTCTCTTATTTCTGTTTTACATAGTATTATTTGTTTTACTGTACTTTTTATTATTTTTTCTTTGGTCTTAGAACCTGTTTTTATTACAACTGTAATGTGCTGTCTTCTTCCACCCCCCTCCCCCAGACCCATTTATCCTGCCCCACATGCAGGTGGACAAGGGAGCCATCCGGTTTGTACTGAGTGGGGCCAACATCATGTGTCCTGGCCTGACCTCTCCAGGAGCTCGGATGACCAACGTGGACAAAGACCAAATTGTTGTATCCTTTTCAGAAAAAGTTACGGGAGTCTTTGATTTAATTATTGTGTGTGTGTGTGTGTGAGGGGGGTGTTATGTATGTTGCATGTGATCTATGACCTTACTTCTAGGGGGTCCGTGCATGTGTGCGACCTCACTTCTAGGGGGTACGTGCATGTGTGCTTGTGAACCACGAACTCACCACCAGAAATCAGTGAGTGTACGTGTGCATGGCCTATGGCTCCAGCAGGTGGTTGGAGGGCACCACTAGTAGGTCCTACTTCTGTACTTTCCCTCTGTTGTTTCTGTCTGTCCATCTCCCTTTTTCTCAGCGCTAAATAATCATTATTTTGTCGATGTGCTTGTCTTTACTCAAACAATATGACTTCATAAACAAGGTGGCCTATGTCAATATGTGTGTTTTTTGTGTTAGTGTTTGCGACTAATGGCATTCCCTCCAGGGATCAATCTGTGTGTGTATTCCTTGACCAGTGTCCAGGCTATCATGGCTGAAGGCAAGCAGCATGCTCTGGCCATCGGACAGACTAAGATGAGCACAGAGGAAATGTAAGTACACCCCAGATGACATGAACAAGCTAGTACGTCAAACACAAATATGCTTAGTGTACACACACTGATGAGCACAGGGGAGATAATAATAAAATAAAAATATATAACATTAATTTCGCGCCTTTCCAAAAAAGTAGTTCATTGCGCTTTACATTGGAATACCCGTTTTCAAAAATATAAATAAACACACCAACATCAACATGCCAAATGTACAGATACAGATGAGCACAGGGAAAATGAAAGTAAACATTTTTGCACAGCCAATATTAACACTAACATGCCTAGATCAATGCCACCCATTGTTGAGGAGAAAAGTGGCTAATTTAGATAGGTGGATGTCTTGCACAGTGTTATTGTAATGTAACAAAATACGCAAGGGGGAAAAATGGGAAATAGCCTTTTGTACAGGTGGCTGTTAGGGAAGGTTTCACTGTATATTAATGACCGAACCTTAAATTCTCTTTGTATTTCACAGGCATTTGTGGTCTAATGAATAGGTTCTTGACCGTTTCATGCAAAAAATACAGGTTCAATTTCTGAGTGGGGTACATAGTTTACAGAGTTTCCATGTTTGTCTGTTGCCATTCTATGTCTGTTTAAGCCTGGGTTGGCCCTGACTGGCAGGGTCAGACCAGCCCGCCTCATGAGGAAAAAAATGCTGAAAATTTTTGTAATACTCTTTTTGTCAACAGAGTGACGAAGAACAAGGGTGTTGGTGTGGACAATATTCACTTCCTCAATGATGGTCTTTGGCTCATGAAGACAGTCAAGTAGCATCAGTTTACTCTAGGCTGGTCCTGTGTGGGTTTATGAGTGTGTGTGTGTGTGCGAGTGCTTGTGTAGCTGATCTTGTGAGTGTATAGTACCCTCTGCTAGCTTTGCGACAGGGTGTGGGTGTGTATTTAACTGGCCCTGTGTATTGTAAAGTGCTCTCTGCTCATCCAGTGTGTGCCTGTGTGTGAGTGTGTGTGTACTGTGTGTTAGTCAGTGTTGTTCTTCACTACGCCTAGATATTCCTGTGTGTGTGTTTGCGTGCATACGAGAGTGTCAAAAGTTGCTTTGAGATTGGTTGTAATAAACTTTTTTGAAAATCACACCTTGGGTCTCTTGTAATGCCATTGCAAGTTGATTTGCTGTACTGTAACTGTAACAACTTTTGGTCTCTGTATATCTCTCTTTCTCTCATTACTTTTCTTTCCACCATCTCTATGTTCCTTTCTACTATCTTCTTTCTCGCTCTCTCCACTTTCACTTACTCACTCCTTCGGTGGTGTCATACAAGACTTCAGTTTTAGCAATGCTGGTTCGTGTCCTCAAAGTATTAATTTTGTGCTCTATTCTGCAGGAGATCAAAGATCTTTTAAAATCCACCTTAATAACTTAACTGTATGGTAGACCACTTTCCATTTCAATTCATATTGACTAGTGTTAGTGGTGTTACAGAAAGGTGCTTCACAAGCTCAAGAAAAGGTACGAGTTCAATTCAGGTAAGGGGAGATTTTATTATCGAGAAACTCCGTCTGCTGAGACTTTGCATCACTCTCAACCCTAGTTGACCCGGACAGGCAGGGTTGAGTCATAATATTTATATTTTTCAACCAATACTGTGCTAAATGATAAACCCATACTATACTATACTAAACATTCACAGAGTGATTGGAGTTGTAGGCTACTACTGTTTGGTCCTACTTGTTTATTTTCCATATCTGTTGTATTAGTCTGTCTTACTTTGCCAGGCTTGAGTGGCATAGTGGGTAGTTGACGGGTGCTCTGATGTGGTTTGCTCCATCTTTTTAAACAATTTTTTGGCCTCATCTCTCCTTTTTTTTCTTTATATGTTACTCTCTAATAATACTTCTAATCTTCAGCACTTATAAGACCTATTTGTGTTACTAACCAAAACAAAAAATCAAAGGTGTAATGGCCAGGCACTTTGCAGCTCATTTAGGAAGTGGGCTGCTGCTTCGATCCTGCCTGTTGAGGTCATCCTGCCAGGCTGGGTGGGAGACAACATCCTAACAGTAGTAACAGAGGGATGAAGATACTTGATAAAAATGTTCTCCTTTCAGGAATTGTGATTAAATCTTCTACGCGCTAAAGCAAAGAGCCTTGCTATTGCACCACCTGTTGGTATAGAAATAGTGAACAAACACAAGTGTGAGCAACATTTGTGACATGAACATTTACTGATGTCATAAGAAGTACCTCTCCCTCACCCCCATGGACGGACGTTAATGGCTGAAAATTGATACTGTAATGCATAAATATTAACACAAACACGCACACACACACAAACAATACATAGATCTAAAGATCTATATATAATATATATGGTATGCATACTACAAGTGTACATATATGCTCATGCATGCACATTGCAAGCAAAGACAAAACTCGAATATAATCTTCTCCCATTCATGCCCATATATAATTATTATACTCGCAATCTCACTTCATTTACACAGTTCACAAGTAAACACACATACACACACCCATATATACACATACATTCCAACATGCACATACACTTGTAAGCGATACACACAAACACATTCCATTGTAAAAGTAATACAGTGGAAACCATATATAACAGGCCCAGTAATAACAGGGATCCGGTAAAAACGAGGATTAATTATATCCCTGTTTTTTCCTACTCTTTGTCTCTATTAAAAGTTATCGGCAATTACATTTACAGGGCCTCATTGGAGCCCAAAAGCCCAATCGGTTATAGAATGGACAAACGCTCGTTAACAATGTGTAAAAAGTAAGAGAAAGAGAGAGAAAAACGCAGTAATGAAGCAAGCCCACGCCACTGCAAATACAATGGAACTCGGATTTAACGAGCTTGGATTCAACGAGAACTCGGATTCAATGAGAGGAGATAGATTCCCCATTTATTTTCTTCTTTATAATCAATAAAAATAACCCGGATTCAACGAGCACTTAAATCAGCGAGCTCGGATTCAACGAGGTCTCTTCAAGGGTGAACATCCCCCGTAGACGTGGCTTCGCTCATTTTTCTCCCAGAGCAAACTATGCATTCCCGGAAACCATTCATTGCACCTGTATCGTGAACTAGGCTAAAAAGCTATTATTTATTTAGCCGATTGCATGCGACCAATCAGCGGCCTTTTTTCATATCAACACAATATGCATTGTTAGCGCGAGCAAGGGGGGGGGGGGGGGGGCACTAGCGTTCAGGGCATTACATGTCGCAGATACACACGCGTCACAGTCTTTTCTTTTACCCTTGGTCACTGATCATTATTTCAATGATAAGCTAGTCTTGACGTAGATCTACGCATTGAATTGTGCGCTGGTCTATGGAATCAAAAATTGCTGTATCCTAGGCTCTACACAGAAACACAACTTTTTGCCAAACGATCGAGATGACACAGGCGTGCATTCGAACGAATCAGTCTTTTTTTTTCACAGCTCATGATATGCAGGCATTTCAAGCACTACTTGTTACTTCTCTTTACACATTACTTGCTCAGTGCCTGTAATTATCTACACAAAACCTCATGTTTGCTATAACGAACACTTGGATTCAACGAGATTTTCGGTCAGGCCCGGCGAACTCGTTGAATCCTAGTTCCACTGTACACGCAGCGGGTGAAGCAAGAGAGGGCTGCGGTGTGCTGCACACTTCGATCTACTTCTAAGCCTAGCTACACACACGCGCAATGTGCCACATGGCCACGAGAAAGGGCTGCGGTGTGCTGTTCGTGGGTATTTGTGGCAAGGGAAACTACCCATGTATACTGCTGGATTAGTCCACAAATGCTTACTTCCCTTGCATTTCTGATTTAACAGGAATCCGATATAACAGGACTTTTTCTCTGGTCCAGTCATCCATGTTATATCAGGTTTCCACTTAACGTATACACATATAATATATACACACACACAAACACACAGTGCATACATACAGCATGAAATCGTTATAGTGACACACACACACCAATATAATACACAGTGATATGTACACATACAAATACACACACACACACACACTGTAACGATATGGAACATAATCTATAATCCACAACAGTTGTTTGTCAATTATCAGGAGTTGTTTCCTTTCCATTGTAATCTCTCCCTGAGCAGTTCTCACATTGTCTGGAGATTCAGGACTCTGGAAATATGGTGTCTTGAGTATGCAAAGCTGTGTCTGTCTCTCTAACCATTTGGTCATTTTTACTGGTGTGAAAGTGAACCCTGCTATCCTCACATGGTGTCAGAAGTGAGCCAGTGGTCCAAGAAGGCAGGAGAACTGCATTTTTAAATTTTTTATTTTTAGTAGGTGTTTTACGGCGCTCGCAACTGCGTAAGGTCATATGAGCGCGCGAAACATAAGTTGGTTGCTTTCACAACAGTTCATTGCATGGCTAGGTTAACGATCAGAGTTTAAAAATGTTAAAAAGTTGAGGTAAAATAACAATCCAAAAATGTTAATCTGCTTGAAATCAAAATAATAATACATGTATTTATAATTTTCCGAAAAGGCCAATCTTTATAAAATCCAAGATTCTGTCAGGACCAAAAACGGAAAACAGATCTTACTTGTAATTTTTAAAAACTAAAATATTTCTTTCGGGTCTCTCCGAAGTCTAGATATTCTCTTAAAATGTGTCTAATGGTAAAATCTGCGTCGCATCCGACACAGAGCGGCTTCTAATCTCCCCGAAGGAGGTATTTATGTGTCGGGGACATGGGTCTGATGCGTAATCGAGTAAAAATGACTTCCTCTCTTCTGGAGAGGCCCGATCTGCATGAGAGTAAGCCATAACGAGTAGAAACGTCACGGTAATTGGAAGAAACATGACCGCCAGAAAATTTCAACTTCCGTGAGCCAATAACATGGGCTATGTGGACCCAACCCTTTCTTAGACTTAGGCTGTGCGTCTGAGTTGACGAAGAAGAGTGAAGAAGTACAGGTTAATAGCCTCATTTACGCATTGGGCCCTGAGGCAGAGAAGATTCTATCAACTTTTGGTCTCTCTCAGGTTGAAAGCAAAGTTTTCAACACAGTTCTGACGAAGTTTGATGGGTATTTCAGCTCAAAACGAAATGGGATTTATGAGATAGCCCAGTTCCACAAATGTTGTCAGAAAGAAAAAGAGATTATTGAAAAATATGTCAGAAGTTTATACGAACTCTCTCAGAATACAACTTTCCAAGAAAAGGACAACATTGGGACCGGCTAGTCCTGGGCATTATCGACAAAGAAATAGAGAAACTTCAGTTGGAGCCTGATTTTACCCTTGAGAAAGACATCACTATGGCAAGACAGACAGAAAGGGTAAAGGCCCAAATCAAAGAGCAAAGATAGCCAAATGTTGATGCGGTTCAATCCTTTGGACTGGGTACCCTCAAGCGTGGGAGTGTGCATGGGTGACCACGTAGATGACCTGCTCTGCGGGGACGCGGAGAAAGCAGAGGCCAGCAAGACGTGCGTATGCCAGTACTGTGGGGGACCCCACGGCAGATGACAATTTCCAGCATACGGGAAAACACGTTGAGAGTGCTCCAAGAAGAATCATTTCACCAAAATGTGCCATGCAAGAAAGAAAGTCAACTAAAGGAATGTGGAAGATGAAGAGGGCGGTATTTTGTGATGCCACAGTTTATGTGACGCTAGCACCGGAAAATCTTCTGAGCCGAGAGGCTGGCGCAAGGATGGGACTAGTAGTATGGGTAGATTCACAGTTTGGAGGCTTAGATAAAAATGCTATCAAAACCAGACCAGCGAAAATCGAGCTGAAGGGGGATGCTCGGCCATGCAGAGTTCATACAGCCCAAAGAATCCCCATTCCCCTCAGAAGCAAGGTCAAAGAAAAACTAAGAAAGGGTAAGAGGGTAAGTAATTAGAAACTCATCAGTTAGTTTATTTCACAAAAAACGCTCAAAAGTTTTACCTAAGTAAACAGGCATGCAACGCCTAGGGAATGATTTCCAAGAATTTCCCCACTGTTGGAATACACCAGGTACATGGCAGCCTCACTGGAGATCCTGATCCAACACTAGTTAAATCCCCTCACTGACAGCAGTTTGCACGAGCCCGTCACCCCTTTCTCCCCCCGGACGCCCCACTCATTTTCCATTCCTGCCAACGGAAGAAAATCATGGCAAGCATGAAGACCACCTTCGAGAGCTATACGCATCATCCACATTTAATACATGGACCCACCAAGCCCTACCAATGTTGACCCTGAAGCCATGCTAGTAGCCCACCACACGCCCATCCATGTACCCATACACAGGATGGAGGAGGTCAAGGCCGGCCTCAACCAGGACGTTCAACTTGGAGTGATCGAACCGGTACCCATTGGTGAACCAGTGACCTGGTGTCACAGGATGATGGTAGGCCCAAAGGAGGATAGCAAGCCCAGACGCACCGTCGACTTCCAGGCACTCAACAAGCATGCCACAAGGGAGACACAACACACCGCGTCCCCATTCTTACAAGCCAGGTCAGTGTGAGCTCAGACAAAGAAGATAGTTCTTGACGAATGGAACGACTACCATAAGGTAAAATTGCACGAGGATGACGTCAATCTGACCATCTTCATCATCCCTTGGGGCAGGTATAGGTATAAAGTCGCCCCTCAGGGCTAATACTAATAGGTCCCTGGTTCGAATCCGGATGGCAATGAACATTTTTTTTCTCTAAAATTGTCTCCTTTCACCTCCTTTCCCGCTCTCTAGCAATGTTCTGTCGTCTGCTTTCGTCTCCATTTTCTGCCCCCATCCCCAAAACCTCCTTTTCCCCTCCTCTGGGTTCCTGACTCTTTCTGCAGCCTTTCTACTGCTACTCCTTGGCTCCTTCTTACTGCTGTCTTTCAGCCACACCCCTGATCTTATGGTAGGAAAGATCTACTCGGACAAGGGCAAAAAATCTCGGAGGTCCCCTGTGCAAGTTACGCACCTCAAAGATCCCTTGGAGGTCCAAAATCAATGAATAAGAGTCGGATTTGGCCGCCACACAGGCAAAAATTCAAATGTTCTACCAACTGAAAATGTTTTACGTGTCCCGCGCACTCATATGTGAGGCAGTGTGGTGGAATCAGGCTTTCATCAAAATAATCAAAGTGAAGAAACTTGAATTTTTCCCAAAGGTTGGTGAATTTTTATCAAATTTGTGTTTTTTGGCTCAACACCTTTCATGCCCATTAAAGAACTCACTTCTGTGTGGATTTTTCTGAAAAACGTTGATTAAAGGATTTTAAAAAAGTAAATTTTCAGTTACCACGGACTTGTATTCAAGATAAATGGATATTTTTTTCATCCAAATAAAGACAATTGAACAAGCTTTAAGGTGATACCAATAACTCTACAAGCCCAAAAATTGACGAAAGCCTGATTCCACCACGTTGCCTCACTAATGACCTTAAGCAGTTGCGAGTGCCGTAAAACATTTTTAAATTACCCCCAAAAAACAGTCGCCTGTCCATTATCAGGAGTTGTTTCTCTTCCATTTTAACCTCTCCCTCAGCAGTTCTCACATTGTCTGGAGATTCAGGACTTCTGGAAACATGGTGTCTTGAGCATACAAAGCTGTGTCTGTCTCTCTAACCGTTTGGTCATTTTTACTGGTGTGTAAATGAACCTTGCCATCCTCACACACACACACATACACTACACACACACACACACACACACACACAAACATTGATATGCACACATAATATATTCACAGCACATCAAGGTATACACACACACGCGCACATATAAAAGCACAAACGCAAAGCAAAGAGACCAGTGTGTTCAATAAGAAGAGCTGTCCTCGTAGGCTGTGGGCTCCATCTGTTGTACTATCTGCCAGCTGTGCCCCCTACCAAGTTGTTGAGGAACCTGGGTACTGCCCCTGCCACTTCCTCCACTGGCTCGCCATAGTAGTTGATCACCTGACATGGAAATATATGTAATTGTAGAAGTTTTACACCAAATTCAACACAATTTAGATCATTAGAAGGCCGGATGCTTCACCCTGCCTTTCAGTCACTATCACTATCAGGGCTGACCCTGGCTGAGTGGGATACATTGAGGATCTCCCTCTTTCTATTGTCTTGTTGTATCCCACTAGGCATACATTGGATCTGACAGGCAGAGTGAAAGCAGACTGTCTCCTCAAAGATGAAAATTAGTTTAGTTTAGCTAATTTTAGTACGTTTTACGGCACTTGTAACACAATTGGCTTTTGTATGAGCCAAAGATTAGAGCTGTTACTAGAGAATAATATACAAAGAAAAGGAGAGATAATGAAGTAAAAAAATGTTGGCGGCCATTTTCTCCCTAATTTTACTTCTGAAACCAGGTGACCACCTCCTTCAATCGCAAATATCTCGACTTCTATTAAGGATAAACGGATATTTAAAAAAATCAAATGCAAGGCAAATGAGCAACCTTTAGGAAGATACCAATTTAAACTCAACATACCCAAAAATTGACGAGCGCCTGATTCCACCGCGTTGTGACACATATGGCTGTGACTCTTAACATCAGAAACTCATCCACTGTGTTACCCGACCCTCATCCTCACCCACAGCCACCCCTGACCTTCACCTCAGTGACCCCTGTGCAAAGATGACACAACACACCCACCCACAGTGACCCCTGACCCCACTCACCTTGAGCGAGCCCTGCGCGACGGCAACAATCTCCTCCAGCCTGTGGTCCTCCACCAGGTCGCTGTAGTTCAGGAACAACTCCCTCAGCCTGCTGCAGTACACGGTGGACCGGTGAGGCAGGGCAGGTAACTCACTCATCTGAGGGGCAATAAGGAATACCAGTTTATGGACAGATTTTGTTTGAGTAAATAGAATTGCTTTAACACATTAATAGTAGAGTTGGGTCAGGCTCACTAAATCAGTGTCCCCGAGTAATGAATGATTCACTGATACTACCTGCAAACGAGCAGGTCCACTTGTGAAGATTCGTTTGCTACTCACTACACATAGGACAACAGTTTGTTTAGCAAGCAAGAGGATGGATGGAGAGACTCCATGCATTCAAGCAGGCCAGCGGACGGACTCCTTCCATTGCATACTACTTACACCCCCGCCCACACCCGTCCCCCTCCTGACCCACATTGTAGCTAGGCATTCATGGCTGAAATGTCTCTACCCCCACCTCCCCCCCCCCCCAAAAGTCATTTGGAAATTCTGGGAATTTGGGAATTCTTTAAATTTCACCTTCGTGATAAATTGGAAGGTACACAGTGTGACCCACACACGAGGTGAAAGGTTACACACATAGTACTCTGTCACCAGCCTCTCTCACTCCCCGTAGCAATGCTAGTGGCTTGAAACGTTAGGCCTAATTAACAAACAAGCTAGAGTTCGTCCGTTTGCATGCCCTCTCAGTGAATAAAATTGTGGATCGGGCCCAAGAAACTAACTGACTTGAGATTCGCAGTCCGCTTGCTCTTGTTTGCTGGGATAGAGTTTGTCCGCTCGCTGAGAGTAAAATTATGGAGCGGACCCAAAAAACGAACTGTCTTGAGGCTCGCAGTCCGCTGACATGGCCACCCGTTACCCGCTGGCTCTGACTGAGTCAGCGGGTAAAGAACCCGTCCGGTGGCTTGTCCCAACTCTAAATAACAGTCGTTTAGAGCAGAGAAAAAATAAGACGGATGGAATGAAAGAACAGCGGGGAAAGAAAAGAAGCAGGACCTACTAGCAGCGCCCTCATACTACCTGCAAAGACAGACTGATATTACGTTGCAGTGGTCAGCAGATGAAGTCTATCCCTGTTGGATCTGGACAGCATATGACTTAAAGACCACGGCTAACCTTAAAAATGCTAAATTGTATACAATAAAATGTTTACATACATGCACCCACACACACATAACATCCCCACACATACTCACACTCAGACTACTAATGTATAAATTGACACGTGTATACAAACACAGAAATATTCACTGAACAACAAACACCGAAATACAGTTACATGCATTCCACAATGCAAACACACACACACACACAATATAACATAGAGCTTAGCATAGACCAAGTCACCTGAAGGTCCCATGTTCCAGTCCCCAGCTCCCCGGCCAACTGTTGTATCTTCTCAAGGTAGCTCATCAAGCAATCCGGCACTAGGGGACACACACACAAACGCACAAGTAGAAATATCAAGGTAAAGTACTCTTTTTTTAAAGGAAAATGAAAGGATATAGCATTCCTAAAACATAACAGAAAAGGATTTAGTGCAAATACCACTGCAAACACTTTTACAAATTATGTTCATTATATAGGTCAAAGGTCAGATGAAACTGTTAACTACAGTTATTTTCATGCAAACTTTTCGCTGTAATATACCAAATGAGACATCGGGTCAGCTGTTCTACAGTCAGACTTTGACGTAAATGAAGCAGAAATACGATTCGTTTACCAACTACAATGTTTACAAAGGGGTATGATCTGTGTATCTGCTATTATATTTGCAACACGAAGACTTGATTCATCTGCCTGGTATGACGTTTACCTTCTTCTTCTATGTGATGTTGACAAAGAAATTATAACGAGAATCTATTTAATTCCTATGATGTGTACTAAAATATGACCTGTTTACTTGCTATGATGTTTACAAAGGGATGAATATGGTTCCTTATTTACACATTTGTTTACCTGCTATGATATTCAAAAAAGGACGGGACGTTATCTGTTTCAGTCCCTCCAAGTGGACAGTGGTCAATCGACGACAGTTTCGCATCAAACTGTGAATGGCAGTGTTACTGAGATCTGTGTACAGAGAGGGCGAAAGTGTTGAAGTATGTGATAGAGGTGTTAGACTTTGTCATTAAGGTTACCAGTACAAGAGAGAAGAAAGCTGCATTTGACATCTGTGGTGTTGCAGTTAGGCTCTTTATTACTGGAAACGGAAAACATGAGTTCAATTTCCAAGAGAGAAGGTTTTTTTTAAAAATTGAATATCTCCATATATTACTTTAGCTAGGATGATGTAGTTCTCTCAGACTGGGTTGCCCTGACAGAACTGAAGTAGTCTGCCTCCTAAATTAGTCTAAATTGTGTTGATGGGGGCGTGAACACATACAATTTATCTATGGTCTAAAATGTTACAACATGTCATAAAGTACTGGCAGGACCAACAGTTTTACTCAACTTGGTCAGTTGATTGATTGTACGTTTTAAGCCCCTATAGACGTAATAATATAGGAGGCAACGTGGTGAGATCAGGAGCTCGTCAAAAAAATTAAATCCGAGAATTTTTTTCAGCCAGTTCGGACATTTTTTTCGAATTTTTGTTTTTCGGCTCAACACCTTGCACGTCCATTCAAAAACACTTTTATGTGAGGATTTTATGGAAAACATTGGCACAAAAAAAGTAAATTTGCAGCTTTCAAGGATTCTAAAGCTATGGAAGGGCCATTTTTTTGTCAATTTTACTTTTGAAACCAGGCGACCCCATGCACCTCCTTCAACCGCAAATATCTCAACTTCTATTCAAGATAAATGGATATTTTATTCATCGAAAGAAAGGCAAATGAAAAACCTTTAACTCTTTAACCAAGCAATTTAAAATGACGTTCCCGTATAATTCTCGAGTTTGTGGAAATGCGACCTGACATATTACATTTTTAAAACCGCTTGTTTTGAGTCAAACTGATCAATAAAGCATTACCCAGAAGTAGAATTCATTTATCTTTGACTTCCGGGTCAAACTAAAGGCTTGTTAGCTCATACTTTTTTATATTCGGCCCGTACGATAACACAATAATAACTTTGCCTCCAGCCATGGTTACTAACATCAACTACCGGACGCTTCCACCGTCCAGACGTGGTTAAAGAGTTAAGATGATACCAATATCTCCATATGTCCAAAAATTGATGAGCGTCTGATTCCACTGCATTGTGACAGAAATAGACAATTCAGGAGTCAGGTTTCTTTGATCCTGCCTGTCAAGGTCAATAGAAGGAGGAGTGGTGGGCAATATCCCAGCACAAAATGGAAATATTGGATAAAATGACTTTCCTACTTGGAAATCAAATTCAAGTCTTTTGCGTACAATGGGGAACCTTTGCACCACAGACATCAATTTTGTCAGCAGTGAAAGCGTTAAGTATGGTCGGAGACGAAGGTGTCAGATAAATTCCGTAAGGGAAATATCAAATATGACTTAAAAAGTGAAAACATAAAATATAACCAAAAGTGAAAACATCAGATATGACCAGAAATGAAAATGCCAAATATGGCCATTAGCAACAATGTCCCACACAGTAGAGTACAGTCAGTAAAAATAAAGTCACGTACGTGTGTTCCAGCCCAGGTCAATGATCTCCAATAGGGGCAGGTGCTCCGACAGATGGATCACAGACTCGTCCAGTACAGTGTCTGAAAGGGCAAAACAAGTCAACCATTAAGGTCTCAAAATCTGGATACGGCTTAGGCTTAGGTGAGACATATCAATGATGACTAAAGCAAAGACAGAGTTACTCACTTTGACTGGCTAACAATAGTTTATGCTTAGGGATAGATTACTCAAGTTGACCTATGCTCTAGACAGACTTACTCAAGTTGGCTTAGGCTTAACCCTGGAAGCGTGCAGGCCCTATATAAATGGCGTGAGCCGGGCTACCCGGGAAGCGCGCACGCCCTATATATAAGGCTGACCTACTTCGACCGGGAAGCGCGCAGGCCCTATATAAAGGGCATAGACATTGACCCTTTTCAATGGAAAATTCCAGTGTTCCTTATATGGAAAATGACGTAGTCAATTACAGGCCAAAGGTATAAATAGTGACCAATGACTTTGCAAGTTATCTTGACCTCGTAGAGCGTCTCTTGGCCGAGATATCGATCGATAAAGTGACGCCATCCTGCTGAGCGACTACACGCTATGTGTTATCACTTGTTTCGCCGTGCTGATGTACTAATTGTTGAGTCTATTGCGTTCTCGGCTTTGTTTGTATTTATTTGATCGCTGATCATTTTTGAATGGCTCATTCTATCAGCTTAAAGAAAATATATGCTTTTATATGCTTTTTATCATCCGTTGAGCCGTAAATGGTCATTTTTTAGTAGCAGGTATACATTTCGCATATCTCAGCTGTTTCCCCCCCGCCAAAACCCCATGTTTACAACTGATCGGCCATGGCGGCGGGGCATTTTGGGCGGGTTACTTCCGATGAAACGCTGAGCACTTCTAGGGTTAAGACAGACTTACTCAAGCTGACTTAAAAGTAGGCTTTAGCTTTAGCTTAGACCAGACATCAACACATACTGGCTTAAGATAGGCTTCAGTCAAACACACTCACACCTGCTGGCTTAGGTTCAGATCAAACATACTCACAATCATAGACTTAGGTCAAGTCTCAGATCAAGCATACTTACTTTCTTTGGCTTGGGCTTAGTCTCCAATCAGACATATTCACAAACTCACAGATATTGGCTTGGAGTTAATCTTAAGCCAGGCATACTCACTCATGTTACTGGCAATGCTGAGCTCTGTGAGCTGTGTACAGTTCTCAGCAATGAGCTCCAAGCATCGTGCACTGAGCGGACAGGCCCTCAGTCTCAGCTGTCTCAGAACTTTGCATGCACTCAGCAGCTGGTTCAGTTCTGTGTCTTCCTCTATCTCCTCACACCAGGATAGATCTAGTTCTTGCAGCTGGGGAGACACACACACACACAGACAGATATATATTGATAGACACATACATAGACATGTAAAAATACAATAATTGACACACTGATAGACTCACACCAGGATTAGCAGGTTACATAAATAGATAGACACACAAATAGATACAAGGGGACAGATAAACATGCACCATGACAGGTCTCGCTTTTGCATCAGGGAACTTGCATACAAATATATGATATACAGACATGTACAGACACAGACACAATGATAGATATTTACACACCAGGACAGCTGGGAACATGTGCACACACACACACACACACACACACACACACACACAACACACACACAACACACACACACACACACACGCAGACACATTGATAGATGCTCCCATTGATAATATAGACACACTGATCCACACAGAAACATGTAAGGAATACATACCAGCACAGCTGGGAACACACACACACACACAAACATATTGAAAGCTGCTCACATGCAGACAAATGATAGACACACAGACACATATAGTCATAAAGAGAGACAAACAGCGGGTCAGTTCCTAGCAGCTGGGAATACACATATTATACAAGTAGACATACTGATAGACACAGACACTGATAGGCACACACACATATACACACTGGCAGATACACTGAAAGACAAACCGATAGATAAACACATTAACACAACCTGCAGATACACATAGATAGGGGCAGAGATAGAATGATGGTGTATCCCAGGAGGGAAGGGGGGAGAGAGAGAGCGAGAGAGAGAGAGCGAGAGAGAGAGAGAGAGAGAGAGAGAGAGAGAGAGAGAGAGAGACAGACAGAGAACTCACAGTGTGGACCAGAGGCTGTGTGGACATAATCTTGAGGGCAAAGTTTGAGATTTGTGACTCAGCTAGCTGCAGTGACGTCATGGGCCGTGCAGTGACCAGTTGAAGCAGGCCTGGGTCCTGGATGAAGGCGAGACCTGGACACAGAGGAGAAGGGTGTGAGGAAAGGGAGTGGGTGTGGGAGGGAGAGTTAATGTGGGTGAATATGAGTTATGACTCAGTGGAATCATGCGCTCTTCAATTTTTGGGCATATGGAGTTATTGGTATCAGCTTAAAGGTTATTCATTTGTCTTGCTTTCGATTAAAAAATATCCACTTATCTTGGATAGAAGACGAGATATTTGCGATAGAAGGAAGTGAGGTCACCTGGTTTCAATGATGAAATTAGCGAGAAAATGGCTGCCAAAGTTTGATAACTCCAATAGCTAATGAGTCATTGAAAACAGAAAAAAGACATATTTATACCTACATGTCAATGTTTTTCAGTAAAATTCACATGGAAATGTTTTTATATAAATATGAAAGGGATTGAGCCAAAAAATAAAAATTTGATTAAAATTTCCAAACTGGCGGAAAAAATGCCTGTTTCTCCGATTTCTGTATTTTGATGAGCACCTGATTTCACCATGCTGCCTCAATATGTGTTCATGAACGTGGGGGGAAGAGGGGTGGGGGGGGGAGTGAGATAAGGTCAGTGACTTCTTAGCAGTCCTGGGTCCTGGATGAAGGCTTGACCTGGACATGGAGGAGAGGGGCGAGAGGTGTGACTCAGTGTGAGTCTGTGCCAGAGCAGGAGCAGTTGGGGGGGGGGGGGGGAGGGGTGTGATGTCAGGGGTTGAGCAGTGGCCTGCCACTCATTAGTTGTTATAATCAACCTGCCTTGCTTTTTCCTTGCACTAAATGTCAAAAAAAGAGGCAAAGAGAAAAAAGGGGAGAACCTCCTACATCATACATTGAAAACGCAAAATCTGACAATGGTCTATAACTTCATGAAATGATACATCAAAGCCGAGAGCAGGGATGGCAGAGGCCTGTTGTGGCAAGGAGTATGGCACGAATGGACAAACACCTATATATTGTAGGGCTACAACACACCTTTACTATGTGTAGCACTATTATGTGCAGTATGAGCAGTGCTATGACCCACCTGTAAAATCCACCTGATTCAGCTTCTTACACAGCGTCAAACTCCATAAGCCTAAGTCAGTGACACGATCACAACCCTGCAGACATACAGAGGTCACGTCACCTGCATGCTGTCCAATCGGAGCTAAGACATTATCGGAAACGAAGTTGCAAGAGGTTCCTCCGTAGAGTCGAAGAGAGGCGAGGGTGGGGTTGCTAGACAGGAAATGTCTCAGGCAGTGCAAGCCTATGAGCTCGTCTTTGAACACGGACCCGTTGACGCTGACCTCTCGGAGAGCGGGCTGGAAGAAACGCTCGTGGGAATACGAGTCTGATGTTGTCTGTCCATTTGTGTCTGGCGTTTCTTTGTTTCTGTCTGAGGTTGTTTGTTTGTCAGTGTTTAATGTCATTTTTGCGTCCGTGCCTGACGGTGCTTGTCTGTCTGTGTCTGATATTGTCTGTCTATCTCTGTCTGATATTATTTCTCTGTCTCGGTGTGATGTTGTTTGTCTATTTGCGTTAGAATTTATTGGTCTATTTTTGTCTGAGTTCGTCTGTGCATCTGCGTCTGACGTTGTTTGTCTGTCTGTGTTGGATGTTGCCTGTCTGTTTGTGTCTGATTTTGTCAATCTATTTGTGTAGGAGGTTGTCTGTCTGTCTGTGTCCAAGACCATTTGTTTGCCGGTCTCTGAGTCCGTCGGTGTGTCTGCGTCTGAGGCTGCCTGCCTCTCCATCACATGTGAGTCAGTCTGGCATGAGTATAGCTGGTCAAAGTCTGGAGTTCGAGCCTCAGACTCAGTGGCACATAGGACAGAGCTATCCTCGACATCAGAGTTGGGCCTTGCATGGGAAGGCATCACGTGGGAGGGACAGGGAGTCAGAGCTGAGGCGTTGTTTTCTGTTATCACTTCGTTGTCAGTTAGTGCACACAGCTGTGCTGTCACTGTGTTGTCAGTTAAGGTGTGCTGTGCTGTCAGTGTAGTGTCATTTACGACAGGCTGCTGTGCTGTCACCGCGTTGTCGGTTGCAACAAGCTGCACTGATACTGTTCTGGCACTCACAACGTGCTGTAGTGTCTCTGTGCTGTCAGTTGCAACATCTTGTGTTGTAACAGCAGCAGGAGAAGAAACAGCATCAGCAACAATATCACAGCTGGATGGCGCAGAAGCAGTATCACTAGTGACATCAACATCAGCAACAGCGACAACAATGTCAGACGGTGAAAGGATATCATTAGACACATGAGAAGATGAAGCCTCAGCAGATGAAGCAGCAGCACCAGTCACCATGGTAATCAGAGAAAGATCCTGTAATTCAGAATGAGGATCAACATCATTCTTCAAAGCAACCTGAGCCTCTGGGCCGCTTTGGAGGTCATTAGAGCCAGTCGACATGAAAACCAGAGGATCAGTGTCACCATCATTAATGTGTGAATCATCAGCATGTCCAGGAGGGCGGTGGTCATTCATAGACCCTCTGGTCAGCCAGCAGTCTCTGAGAGGCGCCACAATGGCCTGGAACTCCTCCAGGGTGGCCAGAAGAGAGTCCAGCATGCCCTTGGGCAGGAAGTCACAGGCCAGGTACAGCTGGACAGCGGCTGGCAGACCATAGCCAGATAGGTAGAGCAGGGACGTGCAGTCCACCTAAAAAAAAAAAGGGGGGGGGATGAAAAGAGCAGGGATGGGGAGGAGCGTTGAATTTTAGTTAGTTTGATTAAAGAGAACTACATCAACACAATAGCACATTGTGTAGAAAAGAGAAAAAGCAACAGAAACAACAGTAGGAGAATAAAAAGGTAGGTCATCCAACCACCTATGGGGATAGGGGGAGGGGGAGAAAGGGCAGGGAGAGAATAAAGTGAAGGAGAGAATGCAAGTCACACCCTAATGTAGTCACAAATAGTCATTTAGTCATACAGTAACAATCACACAGTCACTCAGAGAGCGACATAGTTACACACGGAGTCATATCATTACTTACAAACACATTGTCGGGTAATCCACCTACCTTAGTCCAGCACAGATTTACAGAGCGCAATGTGGGTCCACACAGCGTACATAGATGTCGTAGACCTGTGCTGGTGAATGTGTTGCACCGTGATACATCTACACACTGAAGCTGGGAGTCATAGGCTGATTGAGCGGTTGGTAGCTGGCACAGGGAGACAGAACCAAAAACGTTGTCAAGCGGCAGCAGCACAGACATCACTAATTGTACAGAATATCACAATATGAGTCCTCTGTGAATTTGTTTGTCTATAAATGTGTTCCATTCTAACTACATGCATGCTTGCTGGATTAGCTTTCTGTGCGAGTGTCTGAGAAAGTATCTCCCCAACAGATTTAACTAGACAGATTCCATGCTCATGTCTATGAATGTGACCTTGCTCACCTGTATACCGATTTCTTGGCTCAGCTGTTTGGTCCAAGTGTGTGTGACTATAATGAGGGTGTCTCAACTCACATGTACACCAACTTCCCTGGTCAGCCGTCTGTTGTGTAGGTGTATGTGTCTACAAGTGTGTCTGTGCTTACTTGTACGCCAGTCTCCATGTTCAGCTATCTAGTCTCGTCCAGCAGAAACACAGTGTCCGTCATGTGATGGTGTGCAAGGCTCAGCTGTTGGTGTTTTTGTCCGAGTGTGTGTATGACTGTGAATATGTATTTCAGTGAGTGTCTATGAGTATGTCCCTGCTCATCTGTACACCAGCCTTCCACCTTAGCTGACTGTGTTTCTATGTGAGTCTCTGCATGTATGTCTGTGGGTGTGTATATCTATGGGTGTGTATAAGTGTGTGTGAGACTTTGTGTATCTGTGCGAGTGTGTAAGTGTGTGTAAATGTGTGTGTATCTGTACGTGCATATGTTAGTGAGTCTATGAATGTGTCTCTGCTCACCTGTACACCAGTCTCCCTGGTCAGTTGTTTGGTTTCATCCAGCAGGAACACAGCATCTGTGATGTCACAGTGGGCAAGGCTTAGCTGCTGTAGGTTTGGGGCGCTGGTCAGTAGGCACTGGGAGGTGGGAGAGAAACAGGGGAAAATGCATGTCAATGCATTACTTACAATGTGCACATCTGTGTGTGTTTGTGTGTGTAAGTGTGTGAACGTGTGTGTGAGTGTGTGTGTGTGTGTGTGTGTGTGTGTGTGTGTGTGTGTGTGTGTGTGTGTCCCCGTGCATGTGTCTGTTCATATATATGACATTTACCTGTACATGGGTGTCAGTGACGGTGATACAGTCCTCCAGGCTCACAGAGGTCAGATGAGTGTGTCGACAGGTCACTGGGGAAGCGAAGAGCTGGACCAAATTGAATGTCAGCTCAGTGTTGTCAGAAAGGTCCAGGCTTTGTAGATGTGTACATCTGCTGGGGCGGGCAGGAGGCACAGAAAAGCATACACTTACTGTAAACAAGCAGTAAAACCATCTACACATTCACAGTAAACATGTCACTCACAGCCTACATGCATATTGTACAATAAACATGTTATACATTAACTTGCAGTTTACAGTAAACATACACATTTTAAGTTACTAATCAAACATTGACCTTTACAGTAGACATGTCACTCATAAACCCATAATATATGCACATAAACACAGTTCTTTACAGTAGACATCTCTGTCATTTTTAGACAAATCCATCAATAGCTGATACAGAGGAAAACCATTGATCTGGAGAGCAAGGAACACAAGAACAGATGCATGCACCAACCTCTGTATTACCTGACAAAGACACGTTAACAAACACACCAATTAACATATACTGGTACATGAATCAATAGACACAAAAACAAACAAGAAACATTAAAATACAGACACAATATTAAGCACACACATGAATGAACAAAAACACAAACAGACAAATGCATTTATACCGACTTTTGTATCCAGTGGCTCAGACACATCAGTAAACATTTTTGCGAACAGACACATGACTATGTAGACACATAAACAAAAATTAACGTGAATTGACAGACAGATGTATTATAAACAAACAGACACAAGGACGGACCGACACATCAACAAAACAGATACATGTACCAACTTATGTATCAGCTGATTCAGACATACTGCAGTGACCAGTGGACTGTTGGACAAACTCAGAGTTCGCACTTGTGGCGGCACTAAGGCAGTCAGGGTCCTGGGGAGATACAAGCAGATAGATAGACAGACAGCCAGACAGACTGATGGACAGACAGACACAGAATCCTAGGGACACACAAACAGATTACAGACAGACCGACTATCAGACAGACAGAGAGTCCTCAGGAGATACAAAAGGATAGATCATCATTGCCTTTCTCACCCTGGGTCAGGATATAGGCCACGAACAAACACTCTCCACCTTTCCATATCCTGGGCTAGTCACTTGATGTCACTCCACGTCTTCCCACTTTTCTGTACATCCATTTCCGTGACTCTTCTCCAGGTTCCATGAGGTCTTCTCCTTGATCTTTTACCCTGTGGGTTCCAATCTAACAATTTTCTTGTTATGCAGCTGCTTGACTTCCTGAGAGTGTGTCCAATCCATCGCCAACGTCTTCTTCCCACCTCATCTCTGACCGGGTTCTGTCTGGTTCTTCTTAATACTTCCTCGTTGGTGATCCTGTCTGTCCATTTGATCCTCAGCAGCCTCCTCAGACATTTGTTCAAGAAAACCTGGATCCTTTTTATGCACATATGGGATGAGTTCCATGTCTCACATCCATACAACAAGACTGACTTCACATTTGATTTGAAAATTCTAAGCTTCGTTCGTAATGAGATATCCCTGGTCCTCCAAATCCTGCTCAAAGAAATAAATGCAGCCTGTGCCTTTCCAATTCGGGACTTTATTTCAGCGCCTGTTCCTCCCTCTCTGTCAATTATACTCCCAAGATAGCAGAAGGATTCGACGTCTTCTAGTGCATTTCCTTGTACTGTGACCTGCTCCTTTCGCCGCGCATCTATTCTTAGGACTTTCGACTTTCTGGGGCGGATCCTCAATCCAACAGACTCGGATAGGCTGTTTAAATTGTCTTCTTTGCTTGCATCTGTTCCTGAGAGTGTGACAGAAGCGCCAAGTTATCTGCAAAGTCCAGATCGTCCAACTGTGTCCAAGGTGTCCACTGTATACCGTTTCTGTGTCCTCTGGTGGTTTCCTTCATCAGCCAGTCAACTGCCAATATGAAGAGGAACGGTGATAATAAACATCCCTGTCTCACACCAGTCTTGATGTCAAAGTTGTCTGTGAGCTGGCCATCATGTACAACCCTGCAACTAGTCTCTTCGTACATGCTCTTAATGAGGTTCACCAACTTCTGCGGGATTCCGTGGTGTCTCAGTATCTTCCATAGTGTTGCTCGGTCTACACTGTCAAAAGCCTTCTCATAGTCAAGGAAGTTGACGATCAGCTGGGAGTTCCACTCCAGGGACTGTTCCACAATAATCCTCAGTGTGGCAATCTGGTCGGTGGTTGAGCGATTTTTGTGGAAACCAGCCTGTTCATCCCGTAGTCTTGGATCCGTTGCTGTCTTGATTCTCTCCAGAATGATTCTGTTGAAGACCTTACCTGGTATTGAGAGAAGAGTGATCCCTCTGTAGTTGCTGCAGTTGCTGAGATCCCCCTTTTTTGGAAGCTTCAAGAGGTGTCCTTCTTTCCAAATCCTTTGGGAACTTGCTCTCATTCCAGATCCTGGTAAACAGTGGGAGGAGGATGTCTGCCGTCACATTGGCATCTGCTTTTAGGGCTTCAGGTGGAATCTGGTCAGGACCGGCCGCTTTACCTTTGTTCAGCTTCTTAATGGCATCCAGAATCTCTCGTTTTGAAGGAGCATCACAGCAGATTGGTAACTCATTTTTTTCTGGCAGGATGTTTGGTGGGTTACTCAGTGGTGGTCTGTCCAGGAGACTGTTGAAATGCTCTACCCATCGTTTGGACTGAGCTTCCTTTCCAAAAATGTTTTTCCCCTTTTGGTCCTTTACTGGTACTTCAGATTTCCCGTATTTTCCAGCAAGTGTCCTTGTGGTCTGGTAAAGGATTTGCATGTGCCCTCCTATCACTGCTTCCTCTGCCTTCTCTGCTAGCCTGTTCATGAATTCCTCCTTGTCTTTTCTTAGTGATTTCTTGACATCTTTAGCTGTTGTCCTATATTTCTCCAATGCATCCGCTCTTGATCCTTTTGTTCTACTTGCATTCGATTCTGCCTTCAGCTGTCTTCTTATCCTAATTAAATCCAATGAGTGTTGGCTAATCCATTCCTTGTGCTCCCATTTCTTCACACAGAGTACTTCTTGACATGTTGATGTAAAGACTTCTTTAACCTTGGTCCAGTGTGTATCTACCTCCATGTCTTCCTTACCAAGATCAGCCAAGGGTTGAAATCTGTTCTTCAACTGCAGTTGAAACTCCAGTTTCTTGTGTCCATCTAAAAGACTTACTTGGAACTTCATTCTTTTGATTCCTGTTCTGGTTCCATGCTTTTTGAGACGAAGCTTTCAGAGTTTTGCTAACAGCAGATGATGATCCAATCCAACATCTGCCCCTCGCTGTACTTTGACATCTTCCAGTGAACACCTGAACTTATGAGAGATACAAAAATGATCAATCTGGTTCTCCATCGCTCCATCCGGTGATACCCAAGTAACCTTGTAGATCCTCTTATGGGGAAAAACAGAGCCTCCGATAGCAAGACTGTTGAAAGCACAGAGATTTGCAAATCGCTCACCATTCTCATTCATTTGTCCCAGGCCATGTTGTCCCATGATACCCTCGTAACCTACGTTGTCCTGACCAATCTTGGCATTAGCATCTCCCATTATGATGTTGACATCTTTCCTTGGCAGTTTGTCGATGACACCCTGGAGCCGGCTGTGAAAAGCATCCTTGTCATCATCCGAAGCATCGTTTGTTGGGGCGTAGATCTGTACTATGTTCATGTTGATGCTCTTACTTCTGGTAGTGAAAGAAGCCATGATGATCCTCTCCCCGTATGGTTCCCATCCTCTAAGTGACTTCTGTGCATACTTACTCAAAATAATTCCAACTCCCTCCGCATGGTGCTTGTCTTCCCTCCCAGAATATAATATTTGTTCCCCTGAGCTGAGCTGCTTCTGTCCAGAAAGTATCCAGTGGGTTTTGCTGACTCCTAGTATGCGCAGCCTGTGTCTTTTCATCTCTTGTGTCACTTGAGAACTCTTTCCTGCTTCACACATGGTGCGAACATTCCAGGATGCAATCCGGAGAGACTTGTTCGACAGAGAAGGTTTCCGGTCAGAAGAGCCCTTTCGGCTTTGTCCGCTGTCCTTCATTGTTCCTGCTGATGCAGAAACTCCTCCGTCTCCCAAGATGGAAAAATTATAAGGCATGTTTGTTCGTGTTTCTATAATTTTCCTTTTTTACTGGGTCAGGTAGTTGGCCCTCCGCAAACTGTCACTTTTCAGGTGGTCAGACCTATGCACCTTTAGTCGCCTCTTACGACACGCAGTGTCACAGCAGGTGTATTTTTACTCCCCCATAGTAAAACTATGGAGCCCCCCCCCACCTGCAGGGACAAAAAGGATAGATAGGAGAAGCAAACAGATAGACAGACAGACAGACAGACAGACAGACAGACAGACAGACAGACAGACAGACAGACAGACAGAGAGTCGAAGACAGATACGGAGTCCTAGGGAGATACAAACAGCAGATTGACATAGTGTCCTAGAGAGATACAAACACCGCAATCATTATGAAGCCGGTGGGAAAGAAGTGCATTGCAAGACTCCAGCCCCTGAAACCCCTCTACAAGAGCCCACTGACAAATATGCAGACATGAAAGTCTTAAAGGTGTTCTGGCCCGTCAGTTTTTCTCCAAATTGCCCCATACTGGAGGTCAAAGTGCCACACAGGCGTCTGATGACTCAAAGTCGTCATCCAAAAAGGAACATTAAATAAAATGAAAATAGTATGCCTAAATATTACAAAATCATGTGCGATTTTCTTGTTTGAATCATTTAGTTTTGTTTGTATTCACATATGAGTAAAGAAACTCACAATTCATTGATCACTTCCTAGAAGATGGAGACCTTGCCAATAGCTTACAAGGGAAAAGCCAGCGATGTCAGTTTGCTACATAACTTTTCTATGTTGCTCTCCATGAGGACTATGTCTCTATCTGTCCTTCTAGCCATCCAACATATGCTCGTCAACTCACTCATCAGTCAGCCTGAGGCTAAAGAAGTCCACCACTCTTGCCAAGATGGCCTCACTCTCCAATCCCCACGAGCCTTGGTCCAGCTGTGCCAGTAGACGGTCACAGCCCCGTCGAGTTGCATGACCCGCATGTCTGTCAGCGACCACCCACTGAGAGAGTCGAACTCTTGCAATCGATTTGAGTGTTGGCACACCAGCAGCCTCAACTGCATCTCTGTCCATTGCAACTGGGGATAGGGGGGGGGGGAATTATAAACGATAATTTACGTCCCTACTGACACAATCTAAATCATTTTGGAGGCAGACATACAGGGTGATCAAAAAAAAAACTATACAACTTTTTTTCGGAATATCTCGCGCAAAAATTGTTCTAGAATGCTGTAATTTGGAAAAGACATAATTCATTCAAAAGGAATTCGTTTGATATAAAATCCATGAAGGACAAACATGTTTTGAAAATGGAAACGGCTAAAAGAAAAAAGCACCCAAAAACCCAAAGATCACCAATGTTTAAAAAGCTTGTAAGGGAAGTCCTGAAAAGACTAGTTGACCTTTTTCTGTATTTTCTCTTAGACATTAATTTTCCATTCCAGTGACACTTAAACAATATTTAATTTCTTTTACAGAATTTTAAAAAACCTAATGATTTCATTCTGAAATTCCTAGAAGCAGTGCTCCACATTCCCTCCTTTGGACTCGACACATTTTTAACACGTCGTTTGAAATGTTGGCGCCCTAATACAAGGACCTGCTAAACCATGAGTTTTTAAAGCCACATACACTGTACATGTTCACTAAGAAGTGGCTTCTAGAGACAATAGAGTGGGGTGCCCAATAGACAGCATATTTGGAGTTAACATATCTTGAAGGGTGAAAATGGGCTTTGCACTAAACCAAATGTCATCGAGGAAATGATCCCTCTTTACAAGACAATCGAGGAATCATGAACACATTGCCAAGCTCTGATCCATGTCATCTCGGCCTAGCGAAGATGAACATGGTATAGTCGTGGGTTAAGATCTGCCATGAGAATGCAGACTGTTGATGTGTAGGAAAGTCCTAGCTTCAGATAATCCACAGACAGATGTCTCATGGGACTCGGCTACTGAAATCTGCGTTTAAAAGGCTGCGCATGGTGCGTGTTCAACCTGAAGTTGTCATTTTTTAAAGAACTTTTTAGTTCTGATTCGCTATAGATTCAAACCGACGGAACTTCTCTACTCTCGACGCCAAGGGTCTTGAGGGCACCTAAGCATTCTCTCCATGCCGTGCGCAGAACTTACGAAATGTCAGGGATGGTGAGTTTGTGGAGAGGTAAAGTTCAATACAAAAAGCTCTCTCTGCTTTTTACCAAACGTAGCCATGATCTCAGCAGGCAAAACAAAATTTGGGAAAAATTATATCTGCACACTTCTGATGACTGGTTAGACTGCTGTAGCTTGCAATAAAGGCGCGATTGTTGCAACTTTTAGTGGTTGACCTAATGTGAACTGGTGCGTCATGCTATGAAAATGGCGACAACGTTGAAAATGGGTTGTTTTTTTAATGCGCTATATAGAGCAAAACCATTCAATGGACTTATCTAAAATACATATATATCAGACAAATTCCTTTTGGCTTCCAAACGTTAAGTTCAAATCTGAAACGCAAAACTTCAGTATGGAGGAAGATATTTACAAAACAAGTGGTAAAGTTTTTTTTTGATCACCCTGTATTTGTTTGTGACAATCCACAGGGGCAGTTGAACTCTTAAAATAGATATGAAGGTCGGCATATATTTTGCATTTTTTAACCACTAAGAGTTCAAAACAACTGCTTGATGTAAGACTCCGCTTAGCTATTTTGAAAAGTGATGTATGACGTAGTTTTACACTGTGCACTCGAAAAGAAAATGTGAGGCATCATGGTGAAATCAGGCGCTCGTCAAAATAATTAAATCAAAGAAACTGTAATGTTTCAAGATCAATCTGTTTGGTAATTTTTATGAGCTTTTAATTTATGTCTCAAGACCTTTCGTCTCCTTTTAAAAACACATTTCTAAGTGTATTTTTCTTAAAAACGTTGACTAAAGCTACAAAAAAAATGTTAATTTGCAGTTATCAAAGGACTCTTAAGCTTTCAAAGGAGATGGGAGGCATATACTTTTCTCACTAATTTTACCTCTAAAACCCGGCGACCCCAACCTCCACCAATTGCAATTTATATCTCAGCTTCTGTTCAAGATAGACGGGTATTTTTTTTTTTCCATTAAAAGCAGGGTAAATGAAACAGCTTTAAGATGATTACAAAAAATAACTCAACCCATACATGCTCAAAAATTGACGAACCCTGATTTAGCCTACCCAAGTTGTGACACATATATATTTATATCATCAATTTAACTGAGTGTTAGTGTTTCCCAGAAGGGAGAATGCAAGCTTCTAGAAGCAAATCCCAAATGTCAGGCGCTTTTTCGGTAGTTCCCACCCCCCAATTATTATTCGCCTATTTTCCTGTTTCGGGAATATAATAAAATAATCAAGATAAAACTCTACTGATATCGGCCTAGATTGAATATTTGAAGAGATTTCTGCTTTGAATTTACTTTAGACTAAGTACTGTAGATTCTACAAGAACAAAATGGAAAATAATTACTTGTTAAACGCTTCTTTGTAACATGATGACAGTAAATGACATGCAAAATGGTTAACTTTCCAATTTGGCAATAGGCGCATGTTGTCAATGAACAGTTGGCCAAGTTGTACTTCCACTTCTGACCAAAACAACAATGGTGACAGTTTGGATGACAGTCATTTTGCCAGAGACGGCGCACTTCATGATTTTGCAATTAACAACACTAACAGTAGGCCTGGGAGCAGTGCTTAATTAGAAGGTAATTTTGACAAATCGATTACCTCGATCTAGTATTTTTACCTAGATCTAGATCTACTACTCAAATACAAAATCGAGATCAGCGAATTTCGAATAAAATAGGCCAAAATAAGGGGGGTGAGAACTATCGAAAACGAAGTGGATCAGACAGCAGAGATTCTAGATCTAGATCTATCTAGATTTCTAGCTTTAACTTTAGGTAGTGTCAATTGCCACCGAGTGAAGCGGTGGCAATTGACAAAAATTGACTTTTTGTCAATTGCCACCTAAGTAAATTGGAGCTCTTTTGCGTTGGTGGGTAGATCTAGCTTATTGTGCTCGAGTGCTCGGTGTTGTGCGTTCGCCTCTCTGTCCCTCTGTGTGTGTGTGTGTGTGTGTGTGTGTTTGTGTGTGAGTGTGTGTGTGTGTCTTTTCCTGACCCCCGTCCCCCGATTTATGTTCCCTGATAAAACATGAATTTCTGCTTGAGTTTGTGTGCGTTATTGTGACCTTAGAACTTCTAAAATTGCCTGTGTTGGTTCAACAGCAAAGTGTAGGCTAAGGCTAGCCTAGATCTAGGCCTACGTCTCATTGAAAACACGCCAAGTTGGTACCGTAGCCGTAGCTCTAGACTAGTCGTCCAATGAAATTAGTTGAGAACAAATTGACCCATTATAATATGAAAGTGGCTATTCTCACCCGCCCGGAAGTTCTCGCAAGATCAACTCCTCCCCTCTTCTCTCTCTCTCTGTCTCTTTCTGAATACTGTCTATCGGTGTGGACGATCAAATTGATCAAAACAAAGTTTTAAAATGATGTTAAAACACAAAAGTAAATTAATTTGGTTGTCTACAAAGATGCTACGGCTATTTAACTTTTCGAATCGAGCCGAACTACGCGGGTCGCCATTTTGTTTTGCCCGGAAATTCTCGCACTACTCCTCTCTCTTTCTCTCTCCACTGCCCACAGACAAAATTGTACGCTTTTAGTAGGCTACAGTTGTAATGGAACGTTTGTTCACGGCACAGAATTCTACAATTTTTCTGTTATCACAGTGTAGAATTCTGTGGTTTAGGGTGAACGCAAAATTTGGTGAACGCGCACCGGGTGAGAATAGCCACAAGACTCGCCTGCACTATTCTCACTGCGGGTGAGAATAGAGGTGGCCTTATAATATATAATAAGACACACATTTATTATAATAATGCTAAAGATAGTGTTGTTTTCAGACTTGACACTGCTTCACTTGGTGGCAATTGACAAAAAGTCAATTTTTGTCAATTGCCACCGCGTCATTCGGTGGCAATTGACGCTAGATCTACCTTAGCCTTAACTTTAATCTAGACTTCATGTTCACTTTTGTGGATCATGTGCGCACTCGCTGGCTTCCCTTTTCTTGGTTTCAGCACTTCTAACTTGTAAAGCCTGTCACACAATTTAATTGAGGTTAATTTCTGCTTCTCTTCGTATTATGAGATCTAGATCTAGATCTAGATATATATTCTAGATCAAGAAATCTAGATCTAATCAATAAATCAAAATCAATCAATGGAATTCGATGAATTTTAATCGATCGAGATAAGACGATAGACCATTGACACGTAGAAATCTAGCGGTAATGATGGTAATGTCTTCTTTGCTTTTACAAGAAAGGAAAACAAAATGTAAACAAAACCCAACTTTGAGCGGAGCAAGTCTTACCGTTATGGTCAAGCTATTGACAAAATTTAACTTTAAAGATAGACATCATTTGCAAAGGAATGTTGACATCGCTTCCGCCATGACTGTACCGTGTTGTATACACTGCCTTCAAACTGCCTTGCAAACGTTGAATTCTGTTGCTAAGATTGGTAATCTAGAGTCATTTCCCCTGCTGTAACTACTTTCGTTTTCACTTTACAACTTCCGTTCACAACCCTGTTGATAAACAATGGGCCATGGACACGAACAGGTGCATAATGAATGTCTTCTGTAATAATTTGATAATCAGATCTGTTTTTGCACCACGTCACCACATATAGAATCTAGATCTATTCATGTCTTTGTATGATCTTCATTTATGCTTGTATTTTGCCTGATTAGGTTCGTGGGACTTAGATAGATCTAGAATCTAGATCTAGATCTAGATCTAGATCTAGATCTAGATCTGTCAAGTTGAAGTAGAATCTAGAATTATTAAAAATTGCAATTCGTCTACAAAGTTGCGTCACTTTTCGTTTATAGATAGACCTATAATTTATAATAATAGGGAGGAATTCTGTAACGAGCGACCACAATTAAAAGCCTAGGTCTACATCTAGTGACACCCACTGCAGAGTATGTTGTCTGAGTTGTTTTTATGGTCTGCATTGTATAGAATTAGAGTTTCAGTAATACAGTTTTAAGCTTCGTTTCGTACTGTACTAATGATAGAATCTAGATCTAAGACTTAATTTTAACAGAATAATATAATTTTATAATAATATAAAACTACTTCAGCTTTTAGTTTGAGGTACACACTAAAAATAACCCCCAAAAAGGTCAACTTGCATTCTTTGGCCAGCTCTATTTCTCCGAACGCTCAGAAAAATAAACTTGCTCTATTTCTCTGAAGGGTTTCCGCTCTCGAGATTTGTTGATAATAATTGTGAATGGATTGGCCTGTGTGTGTGTGTGTGTGTGTGTGTTAATGTTTGAATGTGTGTGTGCGTGTGTGTAAGTGAGTGTGTGAGTGTGCGTGTGTATGAGTGAGTGAATGTGCGTGAGTGTGTGTAAGGTATGAACGGGGTGGGGGGCATGGAGGGATTTTTTGTTTTTGTTTACATGCAAAGATTGTAGTTTTTGCTAGGTGACTAAATGCAAAATAGGTTAATTACTGCTCAGGTCGATCAGTCTTGTTTTCTCGCAGTACCTTGAAGGCATTTTCAAATGAAGTATAGTCCGGGAACGTTGCCCCAACCACAACTGAAATACATGTATCATGTATCTGAATATTCAGACATTTAAAAATCTCTAGCTCTAGAAATTGAATTCGATGCAAAAAAAATGCTTCTTCCCAGTCCTTTCAGAATGATTATGACACCTAAATCTCGCAAATAACCAAACAATCTCAAGAATGGAAACCGTTCGGAGAAAGAGAGTTCAGTTCAAGATTATTTTCCCGAACGTTCGGAGAAATAGTCACTTTGTAATTCTTTATCATTGCAGCCACTGGATGTTGATCTAGATCTAGATCTAGTGCTGAAAGATGTCTAATATAAAAATCAAATAAATATATTCATGTGACTTTAGATTCTGTGATTTTCAGTTTTGCCATTAAAGAAGTTGCACGATCTAATGCTGCCATAGAGATACTTTAAAAAAAAAAAGTTATGAACTTAGAAGTTGTTTTTTTTAGTGAAGCAGTCACAAAACTAAAACTAAAACAAACGTTTTGTGTGCTGTATATTTTTGCAGGTGTTTTGGTCCATTGAATGTCTTCTTTTTAATTCTTTTTATGCAGCCTCTGTGAAAAGGAGCAATGAGTGACGGATGCGGCAAAGGATTCGATCATTGATGAGAATATGATTTGTCATAGTGACAGATAAGATGAATGAATCGTATTTCCATAACTGTGTTGAGAATGAGAGACAGATCATAAGGACTTTGTAAAAGATTAGTCGAATGATTCTGTCATTGCTACAAGATAGTTCTTTCATCACCACAATGAGGCAAACAATTCTGTCGCTGCTTCAGCCAGCCTTTCCATCACCATTTGTGACTGTTGCTATGTGCTGTGCCATTGTGGCTGTGTGTGGCCTCGGCGACCATCTTCTAGTGAAGACCTACAGCATCAAACAGAGTAGCCGACTACTTCGTGCTCTCATCGACAATAGTTCACATGCTCTTATTGGTGGGCTGAGCTGGGCAGTCGTGGAAGGCCCCGCACTGTTTACGGGAAGCAGAGCATGGCTGCACTGTGTTCTCTGTACGGCTATAGCCTCGGCTGTGGATGTCGATCACTTCCTGGCCTCTGGAACCTTCAGGCTAGAGGTTAGCTAGTAGTATTTGTCATGTTTCAATTGTCATATTTTTGCCTCATGTTTTGATATGTTTTGCTTTGCACTCATATGCTTCAATGTATATTGTTTTGTTGCCATGTTTGGATCTGTTTTGCTTCTGTTGTCTTCATACATGTCAAAGTTGATGTTTAATGTCAATTCAAGTGTCGAAGGAGCTACATTTGTCTCTGTCTTATTGGGTTGTTTTTTTCAGTTACTGTGCAAACATGAAAATGAAAATAAATGCTACTTCCATGTGTGTTTCTTGCAAAACATAAAGGGGAACAAAGTAATGCTGAGATAATGTAAGTTTCTGGACAAATATCACATATGTGTGTCTCATAAATACTTAAATAAAACAATTTACAGTGGATTCCTGTTATAACGAGAGGGAGGGGACCGGTGTCAAATGTCCGTTATAGCAAGATTCTCGTTATAAGGGACCCAGTAATAAATTCAAGGAAAAAAGTAAAGTAGGCCTAATCTATGAGTCTGGTTTTCGGTTTATTTCATTTTGTAATCTCCCCTGATGATGATTTGGTTCAACATGACCTTTAAGTAGTTTAAGTCTTACTTGATCAAAAGTCGAATCAGGTTTCTTTCTCAAACGCTAGCGATATTGACAGCTCGGCGTTGGCGATCAGAAAGAAAGTTCTCTAGGCTAACTCGCCCGCTGTGTTGTACCCCACCCCACCACACCCTGTGGTGCGTTCCGTCTGCTTGCGCAAAAAGGAAACATACCACACCCCGCCCACTTCACACATTCACTCCGTCCATCACAGTACAGCACTATGACCTCTCCATCCCCGCATCGGTGAAGTAGAGGCGTGGTAGACCTAGATAATCTAGACTAGGCTGGCCTATCATACGATGCGTTCTGCTTGTCTGTGCATGCCACACTCTCCGCACTCATTCGATCAGGCCTTCACTGTTGGCACTCGTGGGGTCTCCCATTCTTTGTTTCGCTAGATCACCAACAAGTTTCTCAACTGGCGAGGTTTTACATTAATAAATAGCCTATGCGCTGTGCACAGCAGCAGCTATATTCCGGTATAACCGACTCACGTGTTTGTCTGATTGCGTAATATTAGTATTTTATTTACAAACATAAAGAAGGGAAAAAAACGGGGTTTTAGAATAGTGTCTTTATAACAGACTTCTCGTTGTTTCAGGACTCGTTATAAGTGGATTCCACTGTATACAAAAGTCACCAAAACAATACTGATTGTACATTTTTATTTTGTATATCAAAAGTTAAATCAAAACAAATACTGACCACATGCGTGTGTTTTGGATAAATATGAAAGTGTAACAAAACAAATTATACTGACCTGATGTTTGTGTTTTGGATAAGTGCAAAAGTTAAAAACAAAACAAATACTGACCACGTGTTTGTGGTCTGGATTAGTACAAAAGTTTGACAAAACAAATACTGACCTCTCATTTGTGCCTTGTTTCCTCTGACCAGAAAGCCCTAAAGCTGAGAGGACGACCTCCCTTCCACAACACCGGTCTACTTGTGCTGGCCGTCATCGTGTGCTGGGGACTCAGGGGCTGGCACCGGAGTTTCTCTCTGCTGGCCCTGATGCTCCTGGTTGGAGGCTTGTCCCACCAGCTGAGGGATGGCCACCGGCGTGGGCTGTGGGTGCTCCCACATGGCTCCAGCCCTCCACTGTCAGCTGGCGTATATAGGGGTCTGATTGTTTTGTTGGCACTGTGTGCCCGTTTGCTGTACTGTAGGGGGTGGGGGATGGCGATGGAGGATGTGGGGGGCAGGGAGAAGTATTATCATAGGCCTACAGAGATGGTGTAGTGGAGGTTGTGTAGTGGTAGAGGGAGGGGGGTGAT